AATAGAATTGGGCCAAACTTGGTTTGGTGAGCATTGACCTTGAGTTTTGGAGTGTTAGTTCATCCAGAGACCAGGAGGATGTCTTTTGTTGGGAGGATTCACCGTCTGTTTCCAAAAAGGAAGAGAAGGACAGGCAGAGAGTTCATCAACCTTCTCTTTCAAGGGGGTTCCTAAGACCATCAGAAATATGTGTTTTTGATGATCTTTGGTGACCCCTCTGAAACTCCCCTCATGATTCCCCCAGGGATCCCGACCCCTAGGTTGAGAAACACTGTACTAAGACAATAGACGTTTTCCCCTCAAACACATGTCACATAGAAAAGTCAACAGTAGGAGGAAGCAATGGGAGGGAACATTGAACACATTTATTATAGACAATATTAAGGCACAAATTTAAGCAGCAGAAAATGGGGAAATCTTTGGCTGGCCAAGGTTATCAGTATTTGCTGTGAGGGGTGTTACACTCTTTATTTCCCCAAATATCTATCTACTAATACATTCCAACTGTACAACTTTCTGCACCAGTCATTCTGTACAACAGGCGGCCAACGGTGGGATAGGGAAACACTATCTTACAAATGGTTTACCTGGAACCCAACAGCACAACACACGTGTCACATAACACCACAACACAGCATCCACATCAAAGGTGCTGGGCAGACCAGAAAACATTTTTGCTGCAGTTAAGCCACTACTTTTATTAATAGCAGTATTTTACATAAACTCTGCTCTAACTTGGAGCTATCTAAAGCTATGGAGACCGGCAATTATTGTTTCCCAGCGAAGCAGAAACTGGCACTTGTCCATTGAGTACAATTTCAGTATGTCTGTCTTTCCTGGAAACATGTCAAGGACCAGCACCTGTTCATGGGAGGAGCACAGATGAAGACCAAACTTTGTGTAAACCTTTGCACACAAGACAAATACAGATTTCCCATCTTGATCCTTTTGGCTATGAATGTGTAAGCTGCTTTCAGTTCGTGTGCATGGAAGAGGTGTAGCAAGTCAACTTCTGCAGTTGTATGAAGTCCTTGGTGCAAATTTACATTTGGGTTGCTATGAGAGTGGCTGGGGCAGAATCCAATGCCATGGCTATTGATTTATGTTTACAAATCTTCTCTCCATATAGATAAAATCAATGAATGTATGATGTATGTACATTTGTCTGTTTGTCCCACAAAGGCTGTTGCAAGGTGACACTCTGTGATTGGTCATTGCTAGGTGAAGTGGCCCTCTGTGATGTCACTGGGATAGAAAGGTTAGCTATTGCTAGGTGAAGTAACCATTTGTGATATCACTGTGTTGGTTGCTAGGTGAGGCAGCTCTCTGTAATATCATTGGGATAGAAAGGTGACATGTGCAGGTAGGTAGGTAGGTAGGTAGGTAGGTAAGTAAGTAAGTAAGGAAGGAAGGAAGGAAGGAAGGAAGGAAAGAAGGAAGGAAGGAAAGAAGGAAAGAAGGAAAGAAGGAAAGAAGGAAAGAAGGAAAGAAGGAAAGAAGGAAAAGGGGGAGAAGGTGTAGAAGGTCAATGAAAGAAAGAAAGCACCACAAAGAGCCTGTCCATTGTTGCCAGTGTATTGCCAAGAAGTTATTGTGAAGTAGGTCCTCTCAGAACTGGAGAAGGGAGAAAGTAGCCAAGCGGTGGTCCCAACTATACCTCCAAATAAATCTGTACATGTCTTCTCAAAGATATGAAAAAATTATAGAATTGAGTATTGGGTTGATGGTGTTTCAGGTCATTATTTTTAGTGTAAAAGAGATGGTCAATACACTTTCATTCCCTTTCCCCAAGACATTACAGGGACTATTATTATGTGTGAAACTCCTCTAGCTGTAAATAAAGAGCAACACACAGAAAGCAGGGGAATTCCAGACAAGAAACAATCAGGGCCAGTTAACACCTCCAAACAAAGGATTCCCCCAGTCAGCAATCAACCAGGCTTTGAAGCTGCAAGGCCATTAAATGCCAAACAAGGTGGCCAATTGCAATATTCACACTTGCCTCAAACAGACAAGAGTTTTTTCTCCCACCCTGGACATTCCACAGATATATAAACCCCACTTGCCTAGTTTCCAACAAATCCCTCAACCTCTGAGGATAACTGCCATAGATGTGAGTGAAATATCAGGAGAGAATGCTTTTGGAATATGGCCATACAGCCTGGAAAACTCACAGCAACCCAGTGATTCTCTGCCATGAAAGCCTTCAACAATAGATTCTACTTACAGTTCCACAAAGGGTACCATTAATTTGGTGGTCTACAAAAATATCCTTACTAGCAAGAACAAGTCTATCAGTAATATACCAATACACGTAACTAGCAGATGAATCAAAAGGTGTACTTTTTTAATGATAAAAGCATCATTAAGCCGTCTAATCATTTAATATAATATCCACAATACTGAAAGCCAATGCTTAAAATACTTGCAATGCACATAACTCCTGTTATTTGTCTTTTGTGTTCTTTTGTCAAACTGGTAGAAAAAAACCGACTCTAAAGCGAATTCTTTATAGAGAATATGCAGTAAAAATAAATGCACTTTAAGTCAGTTCAAATGTATAAGTTACCTTAAGAAGAAAACAATAAACACCTTATCTGTATCCAAAATAACATGGCAAATGGAGCCTGGGAATCTCACCGATGACACAAATAACATGGAACACATGAAGCCTGGAGAAGATATCCATTCCTTGTAAGTACCTTTTGTGGCATGGACTCAACACATTTTTACCTCTGGTAAAGGATACAACAGTTTTAATGTGGCTGCAAAGAGATATATTGTCTATTTCGCCAGAGATAAAAATAAAGGTTGCATGCCCCGAGTCTCCAGTTTTGGTCTTCCAGATGTTGTAAACTTCATCTCCCCAAAACTCCAGCTTCCAGAAGCCCCAAAAGTCTAAGAATTTGGGGAAATGAAGTCAAAAACACCTGGAGGAACAAAGTTGAATTGTATCTGAATTACAGGAAGCAATCTGTCTGCCAAACTATGAAAAATACTCTAAGAACTAGTGCATGTCTACAGCTTAATCTGATCTTGGAGGGGAAATAGCTCAGCTATCACATTTTTGACCTTTTAACATATGAATCAAGGACATGTGTCATGACTGCATATAAATAGCTGACATTAGGGCCCAGGGAAATGGCAATAAATGAGAATGATTGGGACTGGCAAGACCATATGAAAAGGGAAATCAAGCTCTGTTCTTAATATGAATGTTTTCTGCATCCATAGAGAAGTAACTTCCCAAACTTTGGTCCTCCAGATGTTTTGGATGCCCAGAATTCCTGATCGTTGGCCAAACTGAAGTTCCTAATATCTTGAAGACCAAAGTTTGGGGATCACTACCATATAGACACCGTCAACATGCAGGTGGATGTGGGTTTCATGTTTTAATACAACTTTCGCCATGACTGTTCATTCTGGGATTGGAAATTCTGAGCATAATAAGAATGAGAGAGGACACTGAAATTGAAGGGTTCAAAGTAAGAACATATGCAGATGACATGGTTTGTATTCTATCTAACCCAACACAGAGTGTTCCAAAATTATTAGAGGTAATCAAATTGTAAGGAGAGGTTTCGCTTTTCAAAATAAATAAAGACAAATCCAGATTTATTACAAAAAATATAGATATCAAAATTATTAGGAAACTAGAAGAGACGGCTAACTGTAAGGTAGTCTCGAAGATAAAATATCTGGAGATAATGATCATGAGCCAAAACATTGACTTGTTTCAAAATAATTATGGGAAGATGTAGTTGGAGATCAAAGGAAATTTGAGTAATTGGCAGAAGCCACCATTAACATGGCTGGGCAGGATTGCAATAATTAAGATGATGCTCTTCTTATTTCAAAACATACCTATCATTAAAGGGACCAAAATCTTTAATTTGTGGAAGAGGGATATCATGAATTTCATTTGGGCATGGAAAAAATGGGGGGGGGGGGGAGAGACTACGTTTACCAGATTAAAAAACTTACTATGAAGCCACCTGCATGAGCTTGCTCAGAGATTGGCTACAATTCCAGAATACAAATTACTTAATTTAGAAGGACATGGAATCAGATATGGATGGCATGCATACCTTTGGTATGAAGGAGAGAGATTAAATAAGGTGTTTGATAAGCATATAATTAGAGGAAGCCTAATAGATGTTTGGAACAAATACAAGTTAGGAATGGAACCACAAACACCCTTGTGGCTGAGGCCAATAGAAGCTATTGGGAGACCCACCTGTAAGGATGATGTCAGAACATATGGGGAATTACTTATCAGGTTCAATGGCCAATGGGCACTGAGGGGGAAAGATGAACTGGGTTTTAAAGACTGGTTTCAATATCATCAATTATATGAAAGGTGTAAAAAGGACAAGAAGAGGGGATTTGCTTCAAAAAAAATGTTTGAATGCAATTTTGGTTTACTTTATTTTGCTATTTTATGTTTTTATTCTGATGTAATTTTGTTGTCTATATTTTGTATGTTATTTTGCTGTATTGTATTTTCGGGCTTGGCCTCATGTTAGCCACCCCGAGTCCCCCTCAGGGAGATGGTGGCGGGATATAAATAAAGATTATTATTATTATTATTATTATTATTATTATTATTATTATGTTTAAAAAGTCCTCTGCATATAGAAAGCATGCGATAGAGTAGGATTCTAACCTAAGCTGGTCTTTTCTTCGTTGTAAATAAGTGTTTACATTCAGGGTAAAAATAAAGCCAGGTCAGGCACAAAAGGAGTCTGGCAGAGTCAGTAGCATTGGTCACTTCACAGAGGTAGAAGCCGCAGCACAGGCAAGTGGACAACAGGACAAGATGGAGACAAGATTGTGGAGGAGAGGATGGTCCTATAGAGACTTTCTAGACGTGCCTCCAGATAGAAACCATCTCCAGCTTATCAAAGCTCATGAATTTGGCTTCAAGACTCTGTTCAGCTGGTTGGTTTCTTGCTGCCCCCAAAAAAAGAATGGCTACCCTTCTGGAAGAGTGTCTATTAATATCTTTAGTATCTGGATATTTGATTCCAAACCAACTTCCTCTTACTTATTGCCTTCTGGGTGAGTTGAACTACAACTTTCATCCTTCTCCTGCCAGAACAGCCAATATCAGCACTGGCTGGAAAAGACAAGATTTGTAGTCCAGTTCATCTGGAGGGCATCAAGCCGCCCTTCACAAGGTCCATGCTGTTTCTGTGTTGCCAACAGCATTAAGGATACTGTTCTGGCCTAATAAATACGAAATACAGACTCAGAATGTCAATAATCTATAGAAAGGATGTGTTATATATTTCCCAAAGCCTTTCCCCCCACAATGGCAGATATATGCATGCCTCCAGGACTGAGAAGCATCATAGGATAGCAAAAAGACCACAAAAAGTAGGCAGGAAAAAGGTAGCGGGATCGTTTCTAAAACTCTGTATCTGGAAGTCCTGCTCCCTTGTTCCAGATATATATGCAGTACAACACGCTTCACATGGAGAATGTAGCAGCTCTTGTTAACCAACAAGTGATGCTACTATATGGATAATTGCAGAAGAGTATTTGGTGCGCTCATTGCACCTTTCTAAAATATTGCCTTCCCAACAAAAATGCAGTTTCATTCCTATGTTTCGTCGCCATCGCTTCATCAAATCGTCAAATCTACTACATCCCATCGATTAAAACTTGGTTGATTGTACAGAGCAAACATCCCAAACGTTCATTTCCGACATCTCATATCCTTCCTCTTTGTCTCCAAAAGTCAAATTCACCTAGGCTTTCCTTCTACACTTAAATTTCCTTGTTCCAGCTTCATGTTGTTCTCCAGAAAGTTCTACGTTTTGCACAGCAACAAGAAAAACCAGCAACAGCACCCCGTCTTGAGGTTTGTGCGCACTTGCACAGAAAGCAGAAAAGGTGTCCATAGCTTCAAATAAGGACTTCCATCATGTCTGGATCTGGAAATTCAGGCTTGTGAAGGAGACTGCTTACCCTGCCTTTGTTCTCAGGGAGCTTCCCATGACTAGGTGCATTCTCTGTGGAGAAAAGGAGGAAAAGTCAAAGTTGAATCTTGATTGGAGACCTACAAACAGCTACACTAGCCATTCTCTCAATTGTGATTTGTTTACAGTGGCATCATAGGGTTGGTAGTATCCAGTGTAGTAACTCATGATGGACCCTATATGGGCCTCCTATCAGTCAATATGTATTGAACAAGTTTAAAATGTCCATGCTGCTAGCTGTGAAAGAGTTAATCTTTGGAACATTATGATGCATGCATAGAACAGACAAGGAAAATGTTGCAATAGACTAGGAAGCTATATATTTATTTATTATTTATTTACTATATTTACAGTATATTCTGGCGTATAAGACTACTTTTTAACCCAAGAAAATCTTCTCAAAAGTCAGGGGTCGTCTTATACGCGGGTGTAGTCTTATGCATGGGAGTTGTCTTAACTCTATATTTTAACTGGAAAAGTTGGGGGTCGTCTTATACGCCCAGTCGTCTTATATGCCGGAATATACGGTATATACCGCCATTCTCAGCCCAAGGGCGACTCAGGGCGACTCAATAGTAAAGTCTTTCTGTATATATTTCAGATTTCAATATTAATGGCAAAAATATGTAGTATGATTTTACATAGGATTTGTGCTACATTAGAACAGTAAAGACAAATATCACTTAAGTAAAATAAACATTAAGTATTAAATAACCAGAAAAAAATAAGGTGTAAACACTAAACTAATCAGGGAATCTGCTATTGCAACACATCCAATGAAGTGGTTTAAAACCACTATAAAAAAAAAGATTAGGACTAAGTACATTCCAGTCTACTTGGAATACACGAATTAAGGAGCTGATAACAGTGTGGTATAAATACAGCAGACGCCATTGTTCTGTCTCTTCTTTCTTGCATCGTGACCGTGCTAACGGATAAGTGTTATTGCAATGAATGAAATGTAAAGGAAGATAAGAACCGCTTGTTGAAGCAGAAACAACTGTCTGAAGCTGGTAAATTGGATGATAGGAAGCAAGTTGGCCAAAAAAATGTCTTGATATACCAGCCCACACCACAATATTGTATCACAAAAACCATAACCTTCAAGCATCCATACCTCCCTACCTGTCCTGCATCCAGAGATTGTGCACGTGTGCATGTGTGTGTACACCTACACAATCCCATGCTATTTACCCACTTGTAAGGGAAAATCGGTCAAATCTTTTTTTACGTTGAGCAACCAGTAGAGAATGCCATCCACATCAGTACAGTGTTTACATTAGGTTAAGATTCCCTTATGGGACTTTTCATTGATAGGGAAAATATATGTGTACCATGCACTATTCTTCCTCATAAGCTCAGAGGTGAAAAGCGGGCACTGATGAGGATATTTTGAGCAGATAAATTAGCAACTAGCTGAGGAACGGTGAAGCCAATTCTTCAGTAGCTTTCCATTTTAAAGAAATCGTAGAAAGAACCATTGACTCTTGGTATAGTTCCTGTGCCTTGCATGGATATCAAAATACATGGATACTCAAGCCTCATTATTTTCAATAGCATAGTAAAATTGTATCCTTTACATAAAACGGCCAAATCAACACTACTTTCAATAGCTTTATTGTCCACTTTTGGATGAGGCAGCAAAGAAATGTTTGCTAGGTAGCTTGTCCCAGTTCAAAACGAGTACCACTCAAGCAACTGGAGCCAGGTATTATGGGCAGGATGCCCTGGCAGATTACTGTTTTGCAGGAGCACAGGAACCCAAATAATGATTCCTATATCATCGAAGGCTTTCATGGCCAGAATCACTGGGTTGCTGTAGGTTTTTTCGGGCTATATGGCCATGGTATAGAGGCATTCTCTCCTGACGTTTCGCCTGCATCTATGGCAAGCATCCTCAGAGGTAGTGGGCCATCCTCACAAGCTCTGAGGATGCTTGCCATAGATGCAGGCGAAACGTAAGGAGAGAATGCCTCTAGACCATGGCCATATAGCCCGAAAAAACCTACAACAACCCAGATTCCTATACCTTTTTATAATGGCTGTTCTCCCCGCTTTTCTGAATTCTTCACATATGCTTCTACTCATTCTCCCTGTCCCCTTCCCTCCATTTTTAGAGCCTGCTCAAGATTGATTGGCTTACCAAGTCTCTCTCCAGTGCCTTTGCTTCCAGCGTGCCTCAGTGCTGGACTGCCTCCTGGAGTACTACCCAATTTCCCTCGACCTGGAAAAGAAGCTGTGCTTGGCCAGAAAAGTTCAGAGCCCTTGTCTGTCTGGGTGCTGCTATCTTTGCTGCCCATTTTTGTATGGCAGATGGTCACTGGCCAAGAGGATGTGGAGGACAGCAAAGAAGGCAGTGGAGGGGGAGGCAGCGATGGTGCAGGCAAGTGGTCACTGGGGTCCTTCCCCAAGAGCAATCCTGGAAGGAAGAGAAAGAGAAAACACAGCGGGAAATGCTTTTCAGTAAAGCCAGGTTCACTACATTTTTGCTAGTTTCCAAAAATTAAAAGTAATTAAATGAGAAACAGAGTGTATTATAACAAACATGATTTCCCTGGATTTAGACACTATACTCCTGGCCTACAAAAATAGGAGTATAGTGTCTAGATCCAGGGATGTCATGCTACCCCTCTATTCTGCTTTGGTCAGTTCACACCTGGAATACTGTGTCCAATTCTGAGCATTGCAATAGAAGGAAATGCCTGGTTTTTGACATCTGGTGAAGCTGTCGCTGTTCACAAATCAACAATTGACTTTGCACGGAAAGATGGATTTGAGTGAAGAATGGAACTTGGATGATATCAGCTGGTTGACCCAAACAGAATTTTTCAGTTTGCCAGTGTATTCAGAGGTAAGTATAGTTGTTAATTTTCTCAAGGTGATTATTAGCTCTGACAATGGAATTTTGGAAGTGTCCAAGTACATGTTCACGAATTTGCTGCAAAGAGATCCCCAAAAGAATGGAATAAGCACAAGTGGAAGAAATGACAACTGGCAAAACTGAGGAACTGTAATGCACAAATGCACTCATCTTCGGAAGACGCCAAAATAAAACAAAAGACTACAAAACTAGCCTCAAAACATGTTTCTAAAATATATGTTTGACATTTTCACTCTCCAAACAAACCCGACATGAGATAACACTGAGAATAGAAGGGATGGAGAATAGGGTCCTTTCTTTACAAGGGTTGGGTTTGCACTGATGAACTCACCTATGCTCCCTTTCCAGGTCTTCTCCTCTTTCTTCTCCTCAGCCATTTGGTTACTGGTGAGGGAAGTTTGTCGGGAATGGGTCCCTGTTGTTGCTGCGGCGATTGATGGAACCGACCGAGCAGGGCGCAAACTTGCGGCATCCGTTTTGCCAGGATCCCTCCTGGACCTCTGTTGAAGGACCTTGATCATGGCATCTTTCTCAATGATTTTTGCATGCAGATTCTTTATCCTATGACAAAAAATAGGCCAGAAGATTCCAGAGGTGAAATACAACATGAAAAGGCATGATCTGGTCCCTAAAAGATAAAATACTGTCTAGTAATATTAAAAGCACCCATTTTCAAAAAAGCGTTGGAACTATGTATTGCCGAAGGCTTTCATGGCCAGAATCACTGGGTTGTTGTGTGTTTTCCGGGCTATACGAAAATGTTCCAGAAGCATTCTCTCCTGATGTTTTGCCTGCATCTATGGAAGGCATCCTCAGAGGTTTTGAGGTCTGTTGGAAACTAAGAAAATGAGGTTTATATATCTGTGGAATGTCTAGAGCAGGAGAAGGAACTTTTGTCTGTTGGGTAGGTGTGAATGTAGCAACTGGCCACCTTGATTAGCATTTAATAGCCTAGCAGTTTCAAGGTCTGGCTTCATACTGCCTGGGGGAATCCTATGTCGGGAGGTGATTGGTTGGCCCCGATTGTTTCTTGTCTGGAGTTCCTCTGTTTTTGAATGTTGTTCTGTATTTACTGTTATGATTTTAGAGGGGTTTTTTAAAATACTGGTAGCCAGATTTTGTTCATTTTCATGGTTTCATCCTTTCTGTTGAAATTGTTCACATGCTTGTGGATTTCAATGGCTACTCTGTGTAGTCTGACATGGTGGTTGTTAGATTGGTCCAGCATTTCTGTGTTCACAAATAATATGTTGTATCCAGGTTGGTTCATCAAGTGCCTGCTATGGCTGACTTCTCTGGTTGAAATAGTCTGCCGTGTCTTTCATGTTCCTTGATGGTGTTTGGGCAATGCTGTGTTTGGGGGTCCTTATGTAGACATGTCCAGAGCTGCAAACAAGAGTTCTTTCTCCCACCCTGGACTTTCCACAGATATATACACCCCATTTTCCTAGTTTCCAAAAGACCTCACAACCTCTGAGGATGATTGCTATAGATGCAGGTGAAATGTCAGGACAGAATGCTTCTGGAACATAGCCATACAGCCTGGAAAACACACAACAACCCAGTGTTGTAACTCTCTCTACCAGAAGTACAAAGTGAATCTTACTAGGCTTACTATATGGTTTGTTTCCTGCACTTCTGCTGGACTAAAAGCATATTACATCAGCCAATGGCACGTAGTGGAATTAAGAGTATGGGATTGGGATTTAGAAACCCAGATTCAAGTTCCCACTGGATGATGAAATTCATAAGTTGGCCTTGGACCTATTACAACAGGGGTCCTCAAACTAAGGCCCAGGGGTTGGATATGGCCCTCCAAGGTCATTTACTTGACCCTCGCTCAGGGTCAACCTAAGTCTGAAACTATTTGAAAGCACAACAACAACAGCAACAGCAACAGCAACAACAGCAACAATCTTATCTCATCAGCCAAAAGTAGGCCCACACTTCCCATTGAAATATTAATAAGTTTGTATTTGCTAAAATTGGTCTTCATTTTAATTATTGTATTGTTTTTAAGTGTTTTTTAATAAGATATGTGCAGTGTCCATAGGAATTCATTCATTTTTTTTTTCAAATTATAATCTGGCTCTCCAACAGTTTGAGGGACTGTGACCTGGTTTGAGGACCCCTGTATTAGAAGAAAGGCAAGCTCAGATTGTCACAAATACTCACGTGACAATTGTACCTATTTGCAACATCAATACAAAACAAGAAATGTTCCCCATTTATAGGAAGCATGCATTTGCTATATTCCTTATTTGGTGATTGAGTTCTCATGCCACTTGATGCTGCATGACGGGAAGGCAAAGGTTAAGCTTCCTGGGTCTCCCTTGCATCATTGCCCCCTATATGTGAGGTCTGAAAAGGGATTTCTGTTCTATATTGCACAGACAACAGTCATGGCATTGAGACATAGCTTAGTAATGTTATGAGGACATTCAGTCCTCTCTGATTTTGGAAACTAAGAAGGGTTAAGCCAGATCAATGCTTGGATGGAAAACTATTCACAACCAAGAAAGACCTACGATTTTCAAGCAGGGTTAAGAAAAACTCCATAGAAAGCCACTGTCCATCCATAGTTGACAACAAAGCTCTACTGGATGGACCAATGACTCAATATTAAGCGAGTTCCTATCTTAGTTTTGGACTATTTATTTATTTATTTATTTATTTATTTATTTACAGTATTTATATTCTGCCCTTCTCACCTCAAAGGGGATTCACAGAACACATATAGGGCAAACATTAAATGCCGTTTATACACTTAGAAGACAGACAATTGTACATAAATAGATGTATATATAGGGTTTTCCCATCTTCGGCATCTTGGAGGCTTGTGTTCGGATCTGGCCATGGGGGGTACTGTCGCTCCATCTCCCCTGCCAAAGAGTTTTGTTTGTAAACTGCCTCCTTGATTGAATCAACAGCATTTTCTGGCATTTCCTTATGGGTGCCTTAAATATCTCCCCGCTTTAAGCCTACATTTTGTTTAGGTAGGCAGAAGCTGGGCTAAAGGGCAGGAGCTCACCCTGACCAATGCTTCAGACTGTCAACCTTTGGATTGGCAAGATTTACTTAGCTGGTGGTTAACCTGCTGTGCTAAAAAATCCAAGAATCTTCCCAAAATCTAGTAGAAATGCAGGCTGGGTGGAGATATGATCCAAAAGGTGACTTCTAGTTTCTGCATAATCCGGGTTTAACACTGCAAAAGAGCCTATGCCCCACAGAAAAAAGCAAATACTCCTTTTTAAACATTTCTTCTTCCAAAGCATGAATAGTGGGAGGAAGTCAGAGCCAATGTGGATGCAATGATAGAGTGCATTATGCCATAATTATGCCATTCATCTTCTGAGGCAATATATGACTGAGTAAGGCTTCTGTGTTAATAAGAGGTGTACAACCTTCATACCCCTAGGGTTGCACTGTAGTAATGCATAAAAATAAACCTCAAAGTAGGCCATCTACAAGTTGCTTCTTACGTGTACTCCATGTCCTGACACCTCCGGTTGGCTTGCAAAATCTCTTCTTCTTCTTGCCACAAACGGACAACATCCAGGGAGCTCTCGCTATAGCTGCCGTTCCTTGAGTGATTCGTGGCTAGGGCCTCCCTGGCAACAAAAGAGAAATCTCTTTCACACACAAAGAAACCCATCCATATCCTCCCATTTGATCTGAGAAACAAATATAAAACATCCCCTTATGGTTGGTTTGGTTGTCCATCTTGCTCAGGATTGAATGTTGGATCTTCTGTGAACAAGGCACATGTTTCTATCACTCAGATATGGTTCTTCCCAAACAGTGACTATGTATCAGTCATTATACAGTGGTTAAGAGCCAATTGTCAACTCAAACGGATGCAAGTTGCATGGTCCACACACACCAAGCCCAGATACCTCAGTAGTCCCCCTCAAAATTGCAAGAGGAAATGAAGTCCTGTCATCTCAGATCACCATTTTGAGATGGACTACAAAGGAAGATGGAGTTATTTGGAGGTGGTACATGGTTCTGAGGTGCCTGTGGGCCAAGGAGGGGAATTTTCATGAGTTTGCATACATTTGGTGGACTCTGAAAACATTGTTGTCCTCGTGGACAACAAGTTAAACATGAGCCAACAATGTTATATGGCAGCTAAAAAGGCCAATAGGATTTTGGCATGCATAAATAGGGGTCTAGTGTCTAGATCCTGGGAAGTCATGCTACCCCTCTATTCTGCTTTGGTCAGACCACACCTGGAATCACACTGGGTCCAATTCTGGGCACCGCAACTGAAGGGAGATGTTGACAAAATGGAATGTGTCCAGAGGAGTGCAACTAACATGATCAAGGGTCTGGAGAACAAGCCCTTTGAGGAGTGGTCTAAAGAGCTGGGCATGTTTAGCTTGCAGAAGAGAAGGCTGAGAGGAGATATGATGGTTATGTATAAATATGTGAGGGAAGTCATAGGGAGGAGCGAGCAAGCTTGTTTCCTGCTGCCTTGGAGACTAGGATGTGGAGCAATGGCTTTAAACTACAGGAAAGGAGGAAGAACTTCCTAACTGTGAGAGCTGTTCAGCAGTGGAACTCTCTGCCCAAAGTATGGTGAAGGCTCTTTCTTTGGAGGCTTTTAAACAGAGGCTGAATGTCCATCTGTTGGGGGTGCTTTGAATGCAATTTTCCTGCTTCTTGACAGGGGGGTTGGACTGGATGGCCCATGAGGTCTTTTCCAACTCTATGATTCCATGAATCTTCTTCCTCTGATGCAAAGTGATGGATTACAAGTTGTTGCTTATAAACTGTCTTAATCTTCTCTCCTGTGAAGGTTGGGGTGGCCAAAAGCTTCTATTGTCCTTTGGACTGTTGGTATAATGATATTGCTAAATGCAACAGGTGCTAAGAATGCCTGCTTTGGATTGCTTGGCCTAGGATTACCAGACAAGGCTGGATGGCCATCTGTTGGGGGTTCTTTGAATGCGATTTTCCTGCTTCTTGACAGAGGGTTGGACTGAATGGCCCACAAGGTCTCTTCCAATTCTATGATTTTTTTTCACCTTGCGAGGCGACTGGTGGGAGACTTAATAGTGAACACTCCTTCAGAGTCACTCTTTCTCAGATCTGTATCTCATCAGAAACCTAAAGGAACAGTACAATTCTATAGTAATAGTTTGCATTATTTGTGGTTTTGAATGTCCACATGGATACTGAGGTCATACTGTAGTTATGATCAAGATGAAGAATTGTGTAACTATAGTATGTGTTGAATTTCCAAGTCTTCCAAAGCAGAGCCTCTGGTTGTTTATTGCAGATGATGACTCACCTCATTCCTCCCTGGAGAGAATATTGTGGAACAAAAAGATCTGATTTTGGAGATTATAATGTAGCTTAACAAGTTAAGGGACAAACAGATCTTTCACTAATACGCACAGCTCCCACCTCTCCTCCACAGCATGAGTAATCAGACCGGAAGGTCTCTCATGAACCAGTTTTCCATTTCATGCAAACTAGAAATCAACAGTTATCAGCTTAAGAACAAATCAGGGTCTTAAACCAATTTCACATTGTAGATTAAAATCCTACTTTGCTGTGAAACTGTTAAGCATTCTTAGAATTTAGCGAAAATTGGAAATTGTAGATAGAGGCTTCCTGGTATTATCATGGCTTGTGTGAAGACAACAGCCAAAGGACTATGTGTCTGGAGCAAAATCCTATTGCATCTTACTAATCCATAATGCTACATGAAGGCAACAGCTTACCCAGAGTTTGTGACAGATTGTTAGATTTTATATCTAGCCTTCCTTTTTTCACCTCATGGACAAATAGAAACATGCAATCAATCACGTTGCTTAGCCATGCCTTACTTTTCTGTTACAGTAGTGGCTGCAGCATTCATGGCGAAGTGTCGGATGGCACTCTCCTCCAGGTACTTCTGCTCCCATTTGGTCATGTCAGCTTCCAGAGCCAAAATCCTCTCCTCCTTCTCCCGCACTAACTCCATTAATGCGGGCACATTGTACTCTGGCAAAGGGGCGGCCTGGTAGTTCCCTTGCCTCTGGAGTGGAAATGGAAATGGAAATTCAGTTTAAAAGATTCATTCTAAATCAGGGGTTCCTAACCTGTTATCCATGGACCACCAGTGGCTCACAAGAATGAAAATATGGTCCACGGCATCACCATTACTACACTGTTGCCTCAAAACCACGTGGCAATGAGCGCGACTGGTCTCGCAAAACCTTCTTATAGTGCCAAGGCAATGAGCATGTCGGGAGGGGAGAGGCTGACTACCCACGAAATATTACTTCTACCACATCAGCTCTAGATGATTAAATATGGTTTTCTGTGGGCGAGGAGATGACGACTACTAGATGGCATATGTTCTGTATCAGAAACTAGAGCTGATGTGGTCTATCCAATACAATTTTCTGAATCAGTACCACAAATAACCAAACCAAATCTAAAGTTGACCAAAAACCGATTTCTAACCCTTTTGGTACTAATGTTGGAGAGTGGTTCCTGATTGAGCGGTCCCTCATCAAGTGGTCCTTGGTTAAAAAAAAAGTTGGGAACCACTGTTCTAAACATAAGAAGAGACTTGCTGGACCGGATGTGAGATCCACCCAACCCAAGCATCTCACTTTACAGAAACTACGGTTTGTTTGGAAGCCATGGATTCCACAGAGACGAGCAAACAAACCATTGCTTGTGTTCCTATTTCTGGTTTGTTTTTCCCTTGCCCATTTATTTATTTATTTATTTGCCACACTTATATCCCGCCCTTCTCAACTCTGAAGCTGTTTCCAAAGTAGGCAGCTGAAATAGGAAGCCATGGATACACTGTCATTACAGGTTTAAGTATCACAACAAGCCACAGTTTCTAAGCTTACAATGAACCATGGATTCAGAGTATGTTTTTTGGCTTGTTGCGATACTTTTAAGGTAGATTCCAACAAAATGCACCATGTCTTGTTGTCAAAAGAAATGCAGTCCCTCTTCTTTTGCATTCAGATCCAAACACACAGAATCCGATACCAATTCCATGGTCATAGTTCCTTTCTATGAAAATTTGGAATGTATAGTTTGGTGATGCATTTAGAATACGCTGTTAGGGAACTCAAGTGTAGGGAAGTGTGATGCAGAGACACTATTATGGGTCTATCAGATTTCTTACAAAAAAGGGAGAAAGTTCCTTTCTGTGGTCAAGTCTTAACCAGACAAGCACCAACTTCTGAGTTCAGTTGTGCTTGTTTCTGTCAGGATGACAGTCAGCCTTCCACATTTGTTGTATTTAGGGGTGCTATGTTTTTTAACCTGAGAGAACAGGTATCTACAAATCTCTAGATCAGGCATGAGCAAACTTTCTGACGTGGGGGCCACATGCTATCACTCCTAGTTAGGAGGACAGGCTGCCCAGTGATGGATGGATGGATGGATGGAAGGAAGGAAGGAAGGAAGGAAGGAAGGAAGGAGGAAGGAAGGGAAGAAGGAAGGAAAGAGAGAGGGAGGGAGGAGGAAGGAAGGGAAGGAAGGAAGGAGAAGGAAGGAGGAGGAAAGAGGAAGGGAAGGAAAGGAAAAGGGAAGGAAGGGAAGAAAAGTGAAGGGGAGAAAGGAGGAAAAAAAAAGGAAAGAGAAGGAAGGAAAAGAAAGAAAAGAAAAGGGAGGGAAGGATGGAGGGAAAGGGAGGAAGGGAATGGAGGAGGGAGAAAGAGAAGAGAAAAAGAAAGAAGAGTAAGGAAAGACAAAAAGGAATGAAGGAAGGAGAAAGAAAGAGGAAGAACAAAGGGTGGAAAGGAAGGAAGGAGGGTGGGAGAAAGAGAAAGGGAAGATAGGGAGGGAAGAAAAGAGAGGTGGAAGGAAGGACAAAAAGATGGAAGGGAATGAGGAAGAGGCAGGGAAGGAGGAAGGAAGGATGAAAGAGAGGAAGGGAAGGCTGGAAGGAGAAAGAGGGAGACAGGGAAGGAGGGAGGATAGAGGGAAGGAAAAAAGGGAAGGGAGGGAAGGGAGGGAGGGAGTGAGGGAGGGAGGGAGGGAAGGAAGGAAGGAAGGAGAAAGAGGGAGACAGGGAAGGACGAAAGGGTGGAAGGGAAGCATGGAAACCGAAAAAGGAAGGGAAGGGAGGAAAATAAGGAGGAAGGATAGAAAAGGGAGGGAAGGATGGAAGGGCAAAAGGGTGGAAGGAAATGGAGGGAGAGAGAAAAATGGAAGGGACAGAAGGAAAAGGGGGAGGAAAGAGAGAACGAAGAAAGACCAAAGGGAAGAAAGGAAGAAGAAAGGGAGGGGGGAAAGGGAGGAAGGGAAGGAGGGAGGGAGGGAGGAAGAAGCAGGGAGGGAAGGAAGATAGGGAGGAAAGGAAAGAGAGAAGGAAGGAAAGACAAAAAGGTGGAAGGGAAGGAGAAAGAGGGAGGGAAGGAGGAATGAAAGAGAGGAGGATAGGATAGAGAGAGGAGGGTCTGAGAAAAGAGCCCAAGGGGCTGCAACCGGGCCCCCGGGCCTGGGTTTGCCCATACCTGGTCTAGATCCTCCAGTGCAATTCTATAGGAGACTTCCACTGAAAGTTAACCATAAGGCCACACTGGAGAAACTGGAGTTTCCTAAAGAAAACAATTCCCTCAAATCCACCAATAATCATATCAGCAAAAGTCAAAGCTGCGAATGTGGAGGTTACACTGTTCAGTAGATCTTTTTTTGGCTGAAGATCTGTGGTCAAAACTGATCTGGGTAAGCCCGAGGAAGGAACTGGAGCTTGTCTTATTTTGTCAGATACCATGAACATGTTGTGTACTGGAAAGATGCCTGCATCTGATCCTGTCATTATGGATACGCATATCTTTGAAGGAGACAAATTCTGAATCAGCTATTTAAATGCTCTTCTATTTGTGTCCTGCCAGGTCCTCAGCAGGCCTCACTCAGCATGCCAAAAATACTTTCATGTGTGCTTTTATTTTACATTCGAGGCAGTCAGAACCCACACTTTCTCTTCCTAGTGTAACTTACTCAGGACATGTTAGGTGCATCTACCCTGTAGAATTAATGCAGTTTGATACTACTTTAACTACAATGGCTCAATGCTATTGAATCATGGGAGCTTTCCTAGGACAGACAATTTAATGTTTATTGTACCAGCTATAGGCCATGACAGCAAATAATATACAAACCTTTAAAAGTACAATAAGCACTTTCCAATATAAACATTAAAACTTATTCCATATACGGGCTCTTTAAAATTATAGTAGCGGTGACATGATAACAAATGTCTGATTTGTATCATCCCAAACTATCTCCATTTCCATTTCTAGCCTCCACTGTGGACTTTACTAATATAGCTTGGATTTTTTTGGGCTGTGACTGCAAATGTGGCAACCCATAATGTTATATTTTTGGAATAATCTGCTAACAAGTCACAGATAATTGCTGACTGTTGCCATGCTGCCCCTTCTTCCAAAAGGACTCCCAGAAGATTGTTTCTTGGGTCATTACACAAAGGGCAATGTAACAGATAATGTATTAAATCCTTTTTCCCCAGATCCACAAATACAAAGTTGTTGGGCATGAGGGATGACAATATTGGTCACTCTTTAGTAGAGGATACCAAGTGGTGAGACCCTGCTGTTTACTAATCCACAAGTTGTCAGTTGCAAGAATCATGTGAGTTGTAGTTTGGAAATGCACCAGCTCTCTTTAGCAAAGAAGGCTACAGACCTTGTAAAACTACAACTCTCATGATTCGACAGCATTGAGCCATGGCAGTTAAAGTGGTGTCAAACTACATTACATTTACAGTGTAGATGCAACCACAGATTCATGCCCATGACCTAAATCTAATTGCAGGTTCCAGGTAGAGTAGACCCACTGAATTTACTTAAGAACACTGTCTACTTTGTGTAAATCTCATTGAATCAATGGGACTACTCTAGATAATATATCTCATAACCATGCCCATTCAGAATACAAAACAATATTTCTTGGGAGGGGTAAAACTGCAGTGAGACTCAAATTATTCTTAGGAGAGGCTGAAGACAGCACTAACACAATTCAAAGATGCAAAGAAATTCACCAGTGGAAGTCAGTGCACATTTCTTTCACTATCTCACCACAAAGGCATTACCTTTGCAAGCTATTCATTCCAATATTCTAAGTAGTTAGGTTTATTTTGCACTGCAAAAGTATGTTGCAATGTGTCTCCCTGGTTATGGTGACCCTATTCTAGGCTTTTCTTTGCACGAAGAGGTTGTCTATTGTGCAAAGTATGACTTGTTTAAGTCACCCAATGGGTTTCCTTAGCCTAGTAGGCTGGCTCTACACTGCAGCATTAGTGCAGTTTGACAGCACTTTAATTACCATGACTCAATTCTATGGAGTCCTGGAAGTTCTAGTTTGGTGAGACACCAGCACTCTTTGGCAGAGAAAGCTAAAAGCCCATGTAAAACTACATCTCCCATGATTTGACAGCATCGTGCCATGATGTGGCGCAGCTGGCTGAGTGTCAGCTGCATTAAGATCAGTGTCAGCTGCATTAAGATAACTCTGATCAGAAGTTCGAAGCAAGCCGGGTTGGAGTGGGCTTCCAACCAATTGCGTAGCCTGTTGTTAACCTTTGCAACCCAAAAGACAGTTGCATCTGTCAAGTAGGAAAATTAGGTACCACCTTGTGTGGGGAGGCTAAATTAACTAATTTATGACGCCATTAAAAAAAAGACTCCAGCAAAAGCATGCGGGGAATGCAGTAATACATCAGTGTCGCAGATGGACGATGAAAACGACAGCTTCCCTGGCGGCCAGAAAAAGTTAAATAGTCTCTGTCTATGTCTGTCTACGTTGTATGTCAAATTGGCATTGAATGTTTGCCATATATGTGTACAGTGTAATCCGCCCTGCGGGGTGAGAAGGGCGGAATATAAAAGCTGTAAATAAATAAATAAATAAATAAGGTAATCAAAGTGATGATATGGGCAGGGTAGAAATAGCGTGAATAAATGTCAACGTGGAATAAATCTACAGTATAGATGTACTCTGTTGGAAATAGCAACCTTCTACAAGCCTCCTTTACTAGTGATTTGTTATGTATATAATTAAGACTGCTTACTATATTGCATATGTGCAGTTTTTCCTTAACTCTATGTTGTTTGAGGTTGTGGGAGGGACGGCAGACCATGTGATCAGATCTGGGACTATTCAGACTGATACACCATATTAGAAGTCAATGTATTGTATTGTATTTTTTGTTTGTTTTGTTGTGTCAGGAGCGACTTGAGAAACTGCAAGTCGCTTCTGGTGTGAGAGAGTTGGCCGTCTGCAAGGACGTTGCCCAGGGGACACCCAGATGTTTTGATGTTTTATCATCCTTGTGGGAGGCTTTTCTCATGTCCCCGCTTGGGGAGCTGGAGCTGACAGAGGGAGTTCATCCGCACTCTCCCCGGATTCGAATCTGCGACCTATCGGTCTTCAGTCCTGCTGGTACAGGGATTTAACCCACTGTGCCAACGGGGCTCCTATTGTATTGTATAATCAGTGCTTGTGTATGAATTAGACAAAAGGCAGAGAAAAAACTACAACAGAATGCTTTCAAGAACTTAAACTTTCAACTGATAAGCAATGTACCTGTATGCTGAATACAAAAAGTTTGTAAGTAAGCCAATTATGTTAATTTTTTAACAAAGACTACTTATTTTTATCTCTTAAGAACGTGACTTAAAACCAAATATATTTTATGGGAGAGTAGATGTTTTTTGGCCAACTGAAATAACACTTCTGAAGGTCTGCTATATAGTTTGTACATTGGCATAATCTTTGCTCCTAACAGTTCAAAGAGATAACCAGGTATATCAGTCTAACAACTGAGAAACCTAATCGCTAGTGGATATACACCACTAAAGAGAAGATTAACTCAAATGAGTTTTTAGCTCTTCTCAGGAATATCACATTTTACAAAAAGGCTTTGATCATTCCAAATGGTGTGAATGCCAATTAATCTCCAAAAGGTCACATTTTGGAGATTCTGGTTTTCCAAAAAGTTATGATATCAAAGGTCATCCTTTCCCAAAATACTTGTAGTATCCCTGAGTCCTGCTCCAACACTTTTAACAAATAGACAATGCTGATTCGCCTGTACAATGACAGTAATCGGATATTTCATTAATTGTTTTGGCTGTTTTATAGGATCCTTGGATTTGGAGTTTAGAGGAAGCCCTAGAGCAGTGTTTCTCAACCTGGGGGTTGGGACCCCTGGGGGGGGGTCACGAGGGGTTGTCAGAGGGGTCGCCAAAGACAATTAGAAAACACAGTATTTTCTGTTGGTTGTGGAGATTCCGTGTGGGAAGTTTGTCCTATCGTTAGTGGGGTTCAGAATGCTCTTTGATTGTAGGTGAACTATAAATCCCAGCAACTACAACTCCCAAATGTCAAGGGCTATCTTCCCCAAACCACATGTCCACATTTGGGCATATTGAGTATTTGTGCCAAGTTTGGTCCAGATCCATCATTGTTTGAATCCACAGTGCTCTCTGGATGTAGGTGAACTACAACTCCCAAACTCAAGGTCAATGCCCACCAAACCCTTCTAGTATTTTCTGTTGGTCATGGGAGCTCTGTGTGCCAAGTTTGGTTCAATTCCATTGTTGGTGGAGTTCAGAATACTCTTTGATATTGTAGGTGAACTATAAATCCCAGCAACCATAACTCCCAAATGACAAAATCAATCCTGCCCTCAACCCCACCAGTATTCAGATTTGGGTGTATCGAGTATTTGTGTCAAATGAATGAAAATACATCCTGCATATCGGATACTTACAAGATGATTCGTAACAGGAGAAAAATTACAGTTGTGAAATAGCAATGAAAATAATGTTATGGTTGGGGGTCACCACAACATAAGGAACTGTATTAAGGGGTCACGGCATTTGGAAGGTTGAGAACCACTGCCCTAGAGCTCTTTGACAGAGTTCTAAACACCTCATAGAACTGCAAATCCCATTATTCAAACCCATGTAGCCAAAGCAGTTAAAGCAGCACTCAAATGCTATAATTATATATAGCATCTAAGAGATTTTATTTACAGCTAGCCTTCCATATCCACTGATTCTGTCTCCAAGGATATAAACATCCACAGCTTGAAAAGGCTTACTAGTCAATTGTGCTCAAAAGCACAAAATCTGCATAAAAGACATCCCTAAGGCATCTCTTAAAGTCCAGCTTGGCAGCTGACAATGAGATTCCTTTAAAGTCATTCCTAGAAAAGCCCTTTAATTGAATCAAAGGAGCCTTTTGCTCAAGCCAAGTAATTGAATTGGTAGAACTTGCTCAGAAAAACCTGGCTTCAGCAGTTTGTCTTCCGGCATGTGGATTAGTATATAAGCCAATCATTAAACAATCACAGATTGATTCTTGTGTCTAGGAAGAGTTTTCTCATTTTTGTTATTAACCTTAAAAATACCTACTAGGTATTTTTTAAAAAATCTTCAAAACGTCACAATGTATTGCTTTATAAAAATTCTGTGGTGCGTTATTTTATAGTTAAGGTAAAGGTAAATGTTAAATCTGTTTGTCATGAAAATCCCTGTGGATTTCTCTCAAGTAGGTATGAAAACAAGGTAGCAACAATCTGCTCTCCAATTTAGGCTTTTGATTTCATTGCATAATCCAGAAATTAATAAAAATAGATCTGTGTACAAGTGGAAATGGTAATTCACAAGTAAATGCATCTCCCACTACCAATTTCCTTTCCAACCCTAGAAGATGGGTTAAGTAGCTGCTGAATGTGAGTCCAACTGGAGGTTTTGACTGGTAAACAGATTGCAAGACAATAGGATGCGGCTTTGACCTTGACCTTCAAAGAGCCTTTGGGAAACACATAGCACTGGGAGCCCTAGTCCACCTCACCTGCTGGAGCCTCAAGGATTCCAGCTCTCTCTCCAACCTGGTGCGCAGCCGGTGCTCCATCTGCTCCCGCTTTTCGTAAGCTGCCTGAAGTTGTGTCAATGCCTGCTGAAGCTTTTCTACCTTTTCAACATGTGCTTGTTTCTTCCGCAGCTGTGGATAGGATACAGAATTTCAATGTTGGAAGGGAGTATGAATATCTACAATGTGAGACTTTACAATGCTGGATGCAGGTAGAGCTTCAACTTTGTTGACTGCCCATCTTTGGTTAGGAAGTTCCTCCTAACTTAAATCTGCTTCTCTATTAGTTCTAGAACTAGTCTTTGGAGAACCATGAAAGACATCTCGTCTGTCATCTTCATTGAAGGTCTTCAGATGTTTGAAATCAGCCACCAGGACAACAGAATGGGAGAAATTGGTTAGATGTTCTCTCCCAGCCTCATTGTTTAGCCACCCAGATTTCCTCTAATTCTTTCTTTTTGGCATTACCACTCGGAAATTAATTCTCCAATCCATCTCCCAAGACTGTTCACATTAGGCATGGGCAATCCATGGTCCTAAATGATTCTAACGCACTTACAAAACCAGGGGGCGCTGGTGCTTTGCTTCTAAAGTGCTTCTAAAGTTCTGGTGGTGAAAATTTCAGAACTGTAACAAAACTTTCAAAATTTCATTATAAATGGCAGTTCCTAATTGGGTCTGTCATAAAAATAACCAATAATGAAATAATAATGAAATTTTGAAAGTTTCGTTAGAGTTCTGAAACGTTCACCACCAGAACTTTAACAATACTTTAGACCAGAATTGATAGAATTTGACAATGTGGAATGAATTTACGGACTCTGAGTTAGCTAACGTTGAGCATTAGATTGGTTTTATTGATTATGATGTAGAATTGATTGATTGTTTTTAATTGTTTTAATTACTGTTTATATTTTTTTTATCTTATTGTTGTGCTGGCATCAAACTCTGCCTTTTGTAAGCTGCCCTGAGTCCCCCCTTGGGGGTTGAGAAGGGTGGGGTAGAAATGCGCGAAATAAATAAAAAATAATAAAATGATAATAAGCAAAGCACCAACTTTAGCAACACTTTAGAAGCAAAGCACCAGCGCCCTCTAGTTTTGTAAGTATTTTAGAACCATTTAGAACCATGGATTGCTCATGTCTAGTTCACATCTCTCCTTAGACTCTTAGCTTTTCTCATGATTTAAAGAGTGGCAATTTGGAGGAGTTTCTGTAATGAGAGAAGCACTTCAATACAACGGAGGATGTTACTCAAGCACAATTTGAATCTCCACAGGCCCTTCCACTGGGAAGAAAGAATTCCTACTCTGTTTTATGAGGTTTCATTTTCTTGGTTCCTGGAAACCAGCTGAAGTATTTGTATGTGTTGAAAAATTGTAACCAACTCATCCAGACTCCAATTGTAAATATAGCTATGTAAAGTGCAATGAACTCAGTAGTATTTATCAGGAGGAAAAAAGATTAGGAAATAGAGGTAACTGATAGGAATAAAATGAGGACAACACAACCTGCATATACAAAAGATTGGTATCCACAGTTTCAATTACTCAAAAATTAAGTCTACTCTGGTCATTTTCTAGGTCTACCCAAAGTCTGGGAATAAGAGTTAGGCCAGGCATGGGCAAACTTGGGCCGTCCGGGTGTTTTGGACTTCAATTCCCACAATTCAAATTGTGGAAGTTGAAGTCCAAAATACTCAATGGCCCAAGTTTGCCCATGCCTGAGTTAGACTGTATATGTATGTGGTGTGTGTGTATTAGAAGGAAGATACAGAAAGAGAAAGAGAGAGAAATATGAACTGATGCCTGCATCTCACCTCTTCTTCCAGCTTGATGACTTTGGCTTGTGCACTGTTCAGAGCCTGGTCCAGGATTTCGATGTGCCTTCTCTGCTCCTCATTGGTCAGGCGCATGGATGCCAACTCCGTTTCTAGTTTCTCTTTCTCTTTCAGGTATTCTTTGTCTGGAAGGGTAACAAAAGACCAGGGCCAACTGAATCGTAACAACTCCAGATCACAACACGCAAGTATGTTCAGAGAACCAGTATGGACTACTGCTTAGAAAATGTTGGACTCCAGTGAGGGAGACTCAGGTTTAAATCTTCAACCATGGACTACAGACCAACCAACAGGCCTTGAGTGACTTTTAAGTGGCCCCAGTGCTTCAATCCATTCAGTATTTCCAGTAAAAAGGGATGAAAGAAGCTGATAATATGTCTGTATGTGTAGGGTGGGTTGGTTTATAGAAGTTAAGTATGAAAGGAGAAGGGCAAAAACAGCTACCATGGATAAAAAAAATTGAATGGATATGGATAGGAAAGTCACAGTAATTCATGGACTTGCAACAGCAACATCTACACTGCCATATAATTTATTTACCATATTTATTTACCATATCCATGGGTCAGTGTAAGTACAGTGCATTACTTAACTCCTTCTCTCTTAGTAGAGTCGTGAAAGGTTGATTTATACATTACTATATATGGGTGCCCTGGTGGCAGCAGCGCAGCAGGCTAAACCGCTGAGCTGCTGAACTTGCTGACCGAAAAGTTGGCGGTTCGAATCCGGGGAGCAGAGGTACTGCTTTTGTGGGAAGGTAACGGCGCTCCATGCAGTCATGCCAGCCACATGACCCTGGAGGTGTCTAGGGACAATGCCGGCTGTTTGGCATGGATTGTTTTGTAAAGAACAATGCTCAAGTTGAACGGAGATGATATAGCCAAAGTAATTAATGTAGTGGGAACCTTCTGATTAGACCTGTATAGTGCATTGTATTTAGGGCTGCCTTGAAGTTACTGAAAGGATCCCTCGATGGCACAGTGAATTAAAGCGCTAAGCTGCTGAACTTGCTGACCAAAAGGTCACAGGTTCGAATCCGGGAAGCAGCGTGAGCTCCTGCTGTTAGCCCCAGCTTCTGCCAACCTAATAGTTCGAAAACATGCGAATATGAGTAGATCAATAGGTACTGTTCCAGCAGGAAGATAACAGTGCTCCATGAAGTCATGCTGGCTACATGACCTTGGAGGTGTCTATGGACAATGCTGGCTCTTCAGCTTAGAAATGGAGATGAGCACCACCCCCCAGAGTTGGACATGACTAGACTTAATGTCAGGGGAAACCTTTACCGTTTATATATGCTATTTCTATCTGCCCTTCAGGAGCTCAGTAAAGATGGACCCAGATCTCAAAAAATCAGGAGCTGCTACAGCAAGAGCCCTGCCATGCTTGCAGAGGAGTCTCATCTTTCAAGGTGGTGCTTAGACCAAAATGGCTCTCGAAATGTACAGACTATTGGTGTGGCCTTTTATGCTTGCTCTTTTGCACCAGCTGTCGGATTCTAAAGCTGCTTCCTAGCACCAACATCCTCTTTTTCAGTGGGTGTTGCTGTTCTTTATTTAGCTCCGCACCATTCAAGTTGAGCTTTGCCATGAATCATCGAAACACGCAGGAATCCACATAGCTTCAGCTGTTGCCAAACATTCCAGTACCCTTTTCATGCTCTGGAATGAGCTGCGGGTTACAAGAGACACCTCTGCCTGCTCATTCAGCAACAGGCATTTATTTGGAGACCTCCTGACCTTGACAACATGGACGATCATGCAACAGGAACATGAGGGTGGATTGACTGAAGACTGAGAGCACATTCTATGCACAACAAGGTGAAAAACATCCCTGTTTGTTGATAACCAAGCCTCTTCATTTGGAACACAACTCACAATTGCACCATCTGTTGCTTGGGAAGAACATTTAAGATGGTGCCAGTATCTTATAGATACTCAGTGGTTCTCACCTTTCCTAATTCCATGACCCCTTAATACAGTTCCTCATGTTGTGGTGACCCCCAACCATAAAATTATTCTTGTTGCTACTTCATAACTGTAATTTTGCTACTGTTCTGAATAGCAATATAAATATCTGACATACAGGATGTATTTTCATTCATTGGACCAAATTTGGCACAAATACCCCATACATCCAAATTACCAGTGGGATTGAGGGTGGGATTGATTTTGTCATTTGGGAGTTGTAGCTGCTGGGATTTATAGTTCACCTACAATCAAAGAGCATTCTGAACTCCACCAACGATAAAATTGAACCAAACTTGGCACACAGAACTCCCATGACCACAGAAAATACTGGAAGGGTTTGGTGGGCACTGACCTTGGGTTTTGGAGTTGTAGTTCACCTATCTATATAAATAAAAATGTAATGTTCGTTTGTGGGATTAACATAACTCAAAAACCACTGGATGAATTGCTGCCAAATTTGGCCACAAGACACCTACTAACGCAAGGAGTGACCACCACTCAAAAAATGATTTTGTAGTTGCTGAGATTTATAGTTCACCTACAATACAAGAGCATTCTGAACTCCACCAATGATGGAATTGAAACAAATGTGACATACAGGACCCCAGTGACCAACAGGAAACACTAGAAGGGTTTGGTGGGCATTGACCTTGAGTTTGGGAGTTGTAATTCACTTACATCCAGAGAGCACTGTGGACCCAAACAAGGATGGATCCGGACTAAACTTGGCATGAATACTCAATATGCCCAAATGTGAACACTGGAGGAGTTTGAGGGAAATAGACCTTGCCATTTGGGAGTTGTAGTTGCTGGGATTTATAGTTCACTTACAATCAAACAACATTCTGAAGCCCATCAATGATAGAATTGGGCCAAATTTCCCACAAAGAACCCCCATGACCAACAGAAAATACTGTGTTTTCTGATAGTCTTTGGCAACCCCTCTGACACCCCTTTGTGACCCCGAGGTTGAGAAACACTGTTATAGAGCTATTGGTAACATATCTTTAGAGAAGGCATGGGAAACCAGCACACCAGGTGTTTTGGACTTCAACTCCCAGAAATCCCAACCAGCTTACCGGCTGTTAGGAATTGTGGGAGTTGAAGTCCAAAACACCCGAAGGGTTTAAGTGTGCCCATGCTTGCTTGAAAGTGAATCCTATTTGCTCTAGGCTATATTTTAGAAGAATGAACTGGCAAACATCACCTCTGAGTATTCCTAAGGAAACCCTCAAAATTCATATGGTTGCCATAAGTTAACAGGTGACTTAAAGGCACATGTAGACACACACATTTTACACAAAATGATACTTGCCATAGAAAAAACTGAGTAGACACTGCAGCATGCTGGCCTTCCCTTTTGCATCAAGGGCTACTGTGTACATGACATGCGCCAAGTCCTGTGGCCATAGGCATCCTAGCTATAAATACATCCAACCTGCTTAAGAAGGTCCTAGATTTCTATTCTTGGAAACATGTTATCTTCTATTTAGAGCACTGAATTGCCTGGCCTAGATGCCAACTATCCTAGCAATTTTCAATGACCCTGTTTCAAGGAACTATATTTGCTTGCATGCCCTGAATCGACAGTGCAACTGAGCCAAGAGCTATGACACTAGTTGCATTAATATTTTTAATGATGTGTAAATGAAAGCACATTTCAGATTTTTTTTTGTGGTGCTCAAAAAGCGTAACATCCTCAGGATGCTTGCCATAGATGCAGGCGAAACATCAGGAGAGAATGCTTCTAGAACATGGCCATATAGCCCGAAAAACCTACAACAACCCAATAAATTCCTTGCAGTTATAGAAACACAAACTCATGAACAAGGAACGACAAATCTCTTTTTATTCACAGAAGAGAGAAACAAATGATCTCTCTTGGAAGTGCATTTCTCCTGAGACTGCTTGCTGACATCAAGATGTATTCAAAGCATCCTCATCTCTCCACCCACCACCAATGTAAGAATGGCAGCAAACAGTAAAATAAGTCCAGAGAAAGAAACTAGCCTTCAGCTAAAAAGCTGTTAAGAAATGGTGTGAAACCACAAACACACCACACATCTATCCTTCAGTACGGATTGGGTGGTACTCACTCTGAGAAGCATAAAGACCTTCTGTTGCCTTATCTTCGTCAAACTCTCTGCACGCAAGCTGCCTGTTGGCGGTCTCCAATCGATCTGCACGGAAATTGGGAAGAGTTGAAGAAGAAAAAATTACACGCATGAAGCTGAAGACCAACCACAAAATTATAGGCAAACCAATAAATGTAATACAAGAACTCGTGTGAAGGGAGACCAATTCATATAGCAACGAATAACAGGAGATTTTGCTGGAGGACAGACATGGCCAACCTGCATTTTGGAGAACCCCAGAGACATTTATAAGAAACTAGCTTAAGTATCCGGCGTAACGCCAACTCACATCATGCCAGGTTAACCCTGAGAAACCCTATCAGTACTTAAATTTTGTTATGTTGGGCAAGTCTGCTCTAGATGCATCATTGGTAGGGTTCAGTGTGCTCTCTAGCTGTAGGGTAAACTACAACTCCCACTATGGTGAGTCAATCCCCTTAGACCCCTCCAGTAGGTTCAGTTAGTCATGGGGGTTGTGTGTGCCAAGTTAGTTCCAGGTGCATCGTTGGTGGAGTTCAGAGTGTTCTTTGACTGCAGTCTGCAGGTGAACTATGTTGGAGCACGCAAGGAATCAGTGAGTGTGTGTGTCAACTGTAAAACAAGATGTATGAAGCTGATTGGTTGAGCAATGCCCAGGGATATGGCTGAGCCTGGAACTTTTGGATACTGTTACATTTTTGTTCAGGTTTGAGTTATGCAGGTGAAAAGAGAAAAAAAGAGAGAAGCAGAAAGAGACAGAGTTTGGAATGTATTCTCGCTTCATGAACACCTGAAGGAGTTTATCCACATGGACAAAAGAAAGACAATTTTATATCTCTCATAAAAGGACATTATGTGAGTTGATGCAACCAATCACATTGTACATATGTTGTTCTGAACTACGAAGAGTAAACTACTTGTTCTTTATTGTTCACCTATGTGGCATATTTTCTTTCTCTGGCAAGGCAGTGTGTGGGCTGATCAAACGTGAACTACACTTGGTTTATTTTATATTATGCCACAAACTATACATCTCAGTACCTACAACTCCTATAAATCATGGTGAATTCTCCCCAAACCTCTCTAGCATGTTCAGTTGCTGATCAATTTATTTATTTATTTATATTTATTTACTTTGCTTGTATACCGCAGTTTCTCAGCCCGTAGGCGACTCAACGCGGTTCACAATAAGAGCAAAAAGTCAATCCAACAACCTAAAAAATTTAAAAACCATTAACAACATAATATACATGATAATAACACATCAATACCAACACATTAACAAATCGTGATCTAATTCGTCATCCATAATTCCATTCCTATATTCATCGTGTACATTGCACTGTTTATCCGAACGCCTGTTCAAACAGCCAGGTTTTTAGTTTTCTTCGAAACACCATTAACGAAGGGGCTGATCTAACGTCCATGGGAAGGGCGTTCCACAATTCCTCTGTTTGTTGTGTGCCACAGAAAATAATAGGAAAGGGCTAAGGGAGAGGCAGTGGGTGGGGTCATGCAAATTCCACACTAGTGGAGAAAGAAACACTGGGATGGTTGCGGTGGAGGAACCACATAAAATCTAAGATAAAATTGTCCCCTTATGAAAGCCTTCACTTGGGTTGTGGGCAGTACAGTGTTTGTGGAGGACACTGGCAGGGCTCTTGTACATGTTCATGACACTCACTATGACCTGTTGTGTCATTGAAGGAAGGACCATTGGTATCTCCTGAGTGGTGGGAGCTATAGCTGTTTGTGGAGACAGGAGCTTGTCTGCCTCCACAAATAGCCACACACACACATACATATTTCAATTTTATTATGTGTATAGATAGAATATATATGTCTCCTTAAGAAATGTCTAGGCAAAAAAAAAAAAACCAGATATTGGAGGTGCACAGGAATTGTACCATTCACCTAGCTGGCCCTAGTTAATATTCAGAGGTCAACATTTCATGAGAAGAGAAAGGAACAAGGAAGGAAGGAAGGAAGGAAGGAAGGAAGGAAGGAAGGAAGGAAGGAAGGAAGGAAGGAAGGAAGGAAGGAAGGAAGGAGACTGGATTTGACTTGGAGCTATTCCCCAGGTTCTCAGAAGGATTTCTTGGCTTTGTCCGTCTTTCCCTAGAGGTCTAGCTTGATCTTTGAATGTGGTTTTCCTGCTTCTTGGCAGGAGGTTGGACTGGATAGCCCATGAGGTCTCTTCCAATTCTATGATTCTATGATTCTATCTGGATATCTAAATGGAGATTTCTGGGACTAAGCCTTCCCAATACAAAACATCCCCTATACTACACTAACAGCAGTTTGAAATGACAAAATTCAAGTACATTTAGTGACAGAGCCTAGGAAAGTTTTTTATGGTTTATAATCCCCAAAATTGGGCAAGCAAACCTAGTGCACAGGATGGCTGAGGATTTCCAGGACTTCTCATCCAAAAAGTCATTTTTGCAAGCTCTAGTTGGTGGTGCAAATGTCATTGGAGACCTAATTCCCAGATGCTGTCTGTTTGCACTTCGTTTTTTGAAATTCAGATTGTAATCTTTTTAAAATCTTTTTAAAATCACACTTGTTTTCAAATGCTTAATAATATTTGCAACGGATTCCTGGAGCTGCAGATGGGTTAGAGGCTATTCAGTCCATGCCAAATAAGCGATGGCAACTGACTTAATTTTCACATATAATTAATGATCACTTAGTGTTCTCTATGCTTTTGATACACAGTCATTTTGATAACCTTCTTTGGTTCAGTAATTTGATTATATTTAAATCTAATTTTATAAATCTGTTGAGTTAAATTGGGAGACAGAATGAAAGGGAAATCAGGCTTCACTGTTTATGTATACCCTTAGGAAATGTTCAGTGAAATGTAACTAACTAAAAAAATAATAGACGCAGTATACAACTTTCTTTCTGATATGCTACTGTGGCCTCGTTTAGGACTGATTTTTAGCATTGGATACATGAGGCTCTTAAACTGTGTGCTCCCCATATCCTTGTGAACCAATTGGGAGATTTGGTTCTCTGCACTTCTCCCAATCCCCTGGCCCTATACTACACTGTTTTGCACTATCCCATACCCAGTCCTTTTTGCAGCCTGATCGTGCCCATCTTAGTATTTCTGATTATTTGTTTTTTGTTTGTGTATTGTTTGAGTGAGTTTTAAGGCTGCTGTTTTATACTCTTATGGTTTATCTGATTGTTATGTTTTACTATGTTTTATTTTCATTGTATTTTTTGTTTTTAATGGACTGTTTTGTTTTGATGTTTTGTTGACACCTTGTCTAGTGTTACACATGAGACAAGGCGTCCACAAAACATCGAAACAAAACAGCCCATTAAAACAAAAACAAAACAATTATGTATTTCTTATGTATTTATGTATTATTTATCTCATGTGTTGGAGCCCCCGGTGGTGAAGTGGGTTAAACTACTGAGCTGCTAAACTTGTTGAACGAAAGGTCGCAGGTTTGAATCCGGGGAACAGCGTGAGCTTCCACTGTTAGCCCCAGCTTTTGCCAACCTAGCAGTTCGAAAATATGCAAATGTTAGTAGATCAATAGGTACTGCTCTGGTGGGAAGGTAACAGCGCTCCATGCAGTCATGCTGGCCACATGACCTTGTAGGTGTCTATGGACAATGCCGGCTCTTCGGCTTAGAAATGGAGATGTGCACTACTCCCAGAGTTAGGCACGTATGGACTTAATGTCAGGGGAAAACCTTTACTTTTACCTGTCTCATGTGTAAGCTGCTACAAGTCCCTTTGGGGAGATGAAGGCGTGGTAAAAATATAGTTGTTGTTGTTGTTGTTATTATTATACACATTTCTTATCTTACAGAAAATAAGTAACTTCAATCTCGTTGAAAATGGGTAAACAGGAAAGGGCAGTGAACAAACTTGGTCACTCTCCATCCCATAACACTAAATTATGTTTAGGTATGAAATCTGTTTAGGTATGAAATCTGAATGTAGCTATGAAGAACAATATATCACACAGAATGTACACCAAGGAAAGGATTAAGTAGAGTAAATCCTTTAGGCTGCCATACCGGCAATAAATAGCTCTCTAAAATTAATGACGGAAAATAGTTGGTTCAGCCTCTGATGTGGCAACCTGGCATGGGATCTCTTGGAAGCACAATTCCAATGCAATGAAGAATGAAAAGGTCTTTGCCAAAAGGACATACCACGCAAGTCCCTGTTGAAATCATGGAGCCTCCGGATTTCTCCTTCAAGTTTGTTACGCATTGCCTTGTCTAATGACTCTCTCTTGGTGGTGGTCTTCACCAGGTCCTCGTATGCTTCTGAAATCTTCTGTATTTCTAGTTCAAACTGAAGGGGGGGAGGGAGAGAAGAAACCAACATACCATTAAGAGCTGGACAGGGGGCCACGTCAGTCTTTGGCTCAACGCTTTTAAAAGAAAGTTTTGTGTGGCGTCCAGAAAGTTGTGTGCCAACTTTCACACCAGCACAGTTCTGCAGGAAGAATGCTCCTACAGTGAGGCCAAAGGAGAAATGCCTCCAGTCATTCACAGCTGAAAGAAACCCATTTCTTGTGCATCAAAGAAGTTTGCAATCACACCTTCTATGGCAAGGCATGTGTTTCCAAATCCCCAAAGCCCTAAATTTAGTACTTCCTATCCTATCTCCAGACACAACTGAGGATGACCGCTGTCTGAAGCTAAGGCCCCTTTCAGGCAGGCCCTGTATCCCAGGATCTGATCCTTTGTTGTTCATTCGTTCAGTCGTCTCCGACTCTTCGTGACCTCATGGACCAGCCCACGCCAGAGCTCCCTGTCGGCCGTTACCACCCCCAGCTCCCTCAAGGTCAGTCCAGTCACTTCAAGGATACCATCCATCCATCTTGCCCTTGGTCGGCCCCTCTTCCTTTTTCCTTCCACTTTCCCCAGCATCATTGTCTTCTCTAGGCTTTCCTGTCTCCTCATGATCTGGCCAAAGTACTTCAACTTTGTCTCTAGTATCCTTCCCTCCAGTGAGCAGCCGGGCTTTATTTCCTGGAGGACGGACTGGTTGGATCTTCTCGCAGTCCAAGGCACTCTCAGAACTTTCCTCCAACACCACAGTTCAAAAGCAGCTATCTTCCTTCGCTCAGCCTTCCCTATGGTCCAGCTCTCAAATCCGTAGGTGACTACGGGGAATACCATGGCTTTGACTAGGCGGATCTTTGTTGCCATTCTGATGTCTCTACTCTTTACTATTTTACTATTTTATCCCAGATTATCTGGCAGTGTAGACTCATATAATCCAGTTTAAAGCAGAAAACCTGGGATCAGATCCTAGCATATAGTGCCTATCTAGAAGGGCCCAAAGTCTTCATGGTAAGGTATTACAAATGAAACATTTCCCTGTAGTGTGTTAAATTGATCAGGGATACAGAAGTTTCTTTTGAAAGAAATCTAACAATTGCTCACACTGTATCTGATGGAATAGTCTTATTGTATATATTCATATATATGCATCTAGAAATTTTAGTCCAAAATCAACCAAAAAACAATCTCTGCCATTGCACCAATTCTATCCTTTTTGAGTGTGTGGGTGAGGAAATGGTGGTAACGTTAAAAGTACCTTGAGGGACCATTAGTGCTTTCCCTTCCCCATGGAATGACTTTTGACTTATCCATGGATCATATCATAATCCATCATTTTGGCTCCAAAACATGGCCTTAACTTATACATGAGATCGACTTCTATATCAGTGGTTCCCAACCTGTGGTCCGTGGACCACCAGTGATCCCCAAGAATGAAAATATGGTCGCGGCCTCACCATTACTACACTGTTGCCTCAAAACCATGCGACAATCAGACTGACTGGTCTCATGAAACCCTCTTATGTCAGGAGATGTTGGGAGGGGAGAGACTCACTACCTACAAAAGCTTACGACTACCACATATACTCTAGATTATTAAATATGGTTTTCTCTGGGTGAGAAGATGGCGACTACTGAATGCCCTATGTTCTGTATCAGAAACTAGAGCTGATGTGATCTATCCAATGCAATTTTCTGAATCAGCAGCACAAATAACCAAACTGAATCTAAAGTTGACTAAAAACTGATTTGTAACCCTTTTGGTAGTAATGTTGGAGACTGGTCCCTGGTCAAAATGGTCCCTGTTCAAGTGGTCCCTGGTCAAAGTTATCCTTGGTTAAAATGGTCCCTGGTCAAAGTTTTCCTCTTCAAGTGGGTCCTGGTCAAAATGGTCCCTGGTCAAGTGGTCCCTGGTCAAAGTGGGGCCCTGGTCAAGTAGTCTCTGGTCCAAAAAAGTTTGGAAACGACTGTTCTATATGAACATATACCTTTTTGACACTATTCCCAGCCCTGTCTACTTGATAGTTGCACTTTCCTTGCGCTCCCCTCAGGATGTATTGCACTCATGGAGCCTGAACCTCAGCTATGTTCTTTTTCTCAGCCATATTGTTTTGATGTTGTTTACAATTGTGATTGTTTTTATATTTTATCTGATGTTTTTTACTTGGATGTGTTCTATTTGTAATTTTTGGGCTTGTCCCTTGTAAGCTGACTCAAGTACCCATGGGGAGATGGTTGGCCGGGTATAAAAATAAAGTTGTTGTTGTTGTTGTTATTATTATTATTATTATTATTATTATTTTGTACACACTCATTTCAGTACCACCAAGACAGAGAGAGAATATATACGCACGCACGCGCGTGCACACACACACACGCATCTATGATTTTATGCACCCTATTTTAAAATATGTTTATATGGAGAAAAAGTGTGCCTTAGAATTGAAAAAACACAGTAATATAATAGACTTTAACCTCTAAAGACACTCTCCCTTTTAAGACTATTAAGCCTAAAATCTAAAATTATAAATTCCACCAAACTTAGAAATCCAGAATCTTTGGCTGCCTTGATCCATTACTAAGGGCACAAATGGTAACTCCTTTCTCAAAGGAGACTCATTTCCTACCTCCTTCCTCCCAAAGGGTTTTGTGCCAACAGATAGACATGTTGGAACACTTGGAGCCAAATGTGCAGCCTTCAGTGTGGAAACATTAAACTGGACACTTCCCAATGAGTTAAGAAGTGATAATTAAAAAAGAGGCAGTAGAAAGCAAAGGAAATCCCTGCCAACTAGATCAGGAAGAGAATCCTGCTGACAAAGGCTGGGGACCCTGTTTTTCTGGCATGGGACGCTCATGGCTGTATAAACAGAGCAAGCTGTGTTAAAATAGGGCAAGAACTGGGGAAACTCTGCCAAAGAGAAAGACACTCCAAGTTCTATAAGACAGCGAATTTGTTATGTATTGAGTTGTCATCATGTTCATGTATTTGCTACATTTAAGAGCCTTGAAAGTAAATACTATTACAGGGAGGCACAGCAACCCTGAAAGGTAGAGGAAAACAAAATGGTGCCTTGTCTATAGCTACTCAGGACAGAGATGGAGAATGTCTGGCCCTCCAGATATATATGAACTGCAACTCCCAGTGGCATAGCCAATGATGAGGCATGCTGGGAGCTTACTTCGGTGCTCCCTCGTTGTCCAAGTAGGATTGTCTTCCAAGATCGGTGTACTGGCGGTGGGTACGCAGGTGACTGTGGAGCCCTATTCTTGATCTGCATGCTCCCCTGCAGTGAGGACATCGGTTTCCAGGTGGAAGGTGGTCCTGGTAAGGGTTGGCTTGACGCACCTTCTTCTTGGCATGTTTCTCTCTTTCACCCTCCATTCGTGCCTCTTCAAATTCTACAGCACTACGGGTCACATCTGACTTCCAGCTGGAGCTCTCAAGGGCCAGGGCTTCCCAGTTCTCAGTGTCTATGCCAGAGTTTTTCAGGTTGGCTTTGAGCCCATCTTTAAATCTCTTTTCCTATCTCCCAACATTCCGTTTTCTGTTCTTGAGTTCAGAGTAGAGCAACTGCTTTGGTAGACGGTGGTTGGGCATCCTGGCCGGTCCAGCAGAGTTGATGGCGGAGGACCATCGCTTCAATGCTGGTGGTCTTTGATTCTTCCAGCATGCTGACATTTGTCTGCTTGTCTGCTTGTCAAGAGATTTGCAGGATTTTTCGGAGGCAACACTGATGGAATCATTCTAGGAGTTGCATGTGATGTCTGTAGATAGTCCACACCTCTAATACCAAACATTCATATCTACTCGCCCACAGAAAGCTATATTTAATAAACCTCGGTACTATAAGAGAGTTTCGTGAGACCAGTCGCTCTCGTTACAATGGTGTAGTAACGGTGAGACCACAGACCATATTTTAGTTATTGCGGACCACTGGTGGTCCACAGACCACATGTTGGGAATTACTGATCTACAGTTTGAAACCAATTTCTTATGTATCACAGAAAGCAGCAGATAAGGGGGAAGCTGGACTAGAACCTGCTATTCTTTCCATCAAATAAGTTAAATGGGATTTTTCTACCATGGCAATGAAGAGGAGCATAGGAATATAGGAATCTCCTTCGTACAAAGACACAACACTGTATTGTCTGCACTAATTGGCCATCATTCTCCATCCCAACCTGGATTGAACCTGAGACATTCTCCGTGCAAAGCATGTGCTCTACTTCCGAAAAAGGTCCTCTCCCTCCCAACTCTGCCACATACCTTCTCAAGCTTGTCGGCTTTCTCATAGTAGCCCTCCAGCTCTTTCTGCAAGGCCTCGTTGTCTTCTGATAGCATCTCCACCATTTGCTGGGCTCGCTGCACTATTGTAAATGCATCTGGTGCAAGCTGCTGTTGCTGCTGGCTTGGTGGTGTCGCAGGCAAAGACTGGGATGTGGTGGCCATCGAGAGAGGAGGCAAAGAGGTAGAGTGCAATGGTCCGCTCAGGGAGGAGGCTTGGGATGACATCGGACTGTGCTGCTGTGCTGATGATATTGATGGGAATGACTGGCATTGACGGCTAGATGGAGGAAAAGGCATGAAGGAAGGGAACAAAGATAATTGGATTATCTGTTTTCAAGGAAAATAAGTACAATTAGTTTTATTTATTTATCCTGCCTTTCTGTCAATAGAGATCTAAGGAACCTTGTTGTACACATTTGAAGGAGCTCCTGGTGATGCAATGGGTTAAACCCTTGTGCCAGCAGGACTGCAGGGACATGAGGGAAGCCTCCCACAAGGATGGTAAAACATTAAAACATTCAGGCCTCCCCTGTGCAGCATCCTTGCAGACAGCCAGTTCCCTCACACCAGAAGTGACTTGCAGTTTCTCAAGTTGCTCCTGACTTAGAAAAAAAATACACATTTGAAAGCAATATTCAACTAAAACCAATCAGTTGGAAACAGCCTTTAAACTAAACCCACATATGAAAACCCAACAATTTAACAGTAATGAAAATATAGTAAGAAAGCCCTCCCATAACCATGTGGGATACATTCCTAGCAAGAACCAACATTATCTGGAACTGTGGATATGACCAAACACCATTGAATGACCTAACTTACAGTCCCAGCATGCCTTAGAGTTGCAAGGGAGATTTCCCAGGTCCCTCAGCACAACTGTATGAGAATCTCTGGGGGGAAGCAAACCATAGAATTGCCTCGAGGACTTAGCAAAAGATACCAATTTCCCCAGTTGCAGGAAAGTGGAACTGTAGGTATGGATTCTGCGGTTACGGGGGAAAGGAATGCAATACAGTGTTTTCTCACTTATCACAGATGTTACGTTCCAGGACCACCCGCAAAAAGTGAAAATCCGCAAAGTAGGGACACTATATTGGAGAGTGACCATATATTCCAGTCTTGTTGTTTCTCCTACACTGTTTCCCTCATATTGCACTTTTCCCCACCTTATTGAAAGTCTAATTCCACTGTTCAGTCCCCTACAAGCTCCTCCCCCACAAATATACCTTTTTCATTGCTATCTCATCCAGAGTGTTATCATTTTATGTCATGCATTTGGCCTGCCCACTGTATTTGATTTTTCATTATGTTATTTTGTACTGTTTATTTTGCTTGATTGGTTAATTTATTTTATTGTAATGTTTTATTGTAATTATATTTTATGTTGCTGCACTGTATCGTTGGGCTTGGCCTCATGAGAGATATTGACAAGCTGGAATGTGTCCAGAGGAGGGCGACTAAAATGATCAAGGGTCTGGAGAACAAGCCCTATGAGGAGCGGCTTAAGAAGCTGGGCATTTTTTAGCCTGAAGAAGAGAAGGCTGAGAGGAGATATGATAGCCATGTATAAATATGTGAGAGGAAGCCACAGAGAGGAGGGAGCAAGCTTGTTTTCTGCTTCCCTGGAGATTAGGACGCGAAACAATAGCTTCAAATACAAGAGAGGAGATTCCATCTGAACATGAGGAAGAATTTCCTAACTGTGAGAGCCGTTCAGCAGTGGAACTCTCTGCCCCGGAGTGTGGTGGAGACTCCTTCTTTGGAAGCTTTTAAACAGAGGCTGGATGGCCATCTGTCCGGGGTGATTTGAACACAATATTCCTGCTTCTTGGCAGGGGGTTGGACTGGATGGCCCATGAGGTCTCTTCCAACTCTTTGATTCTATGATTCTATGTAAGCCGCTCCAAGTCTCATTTGGGGAGATGGTGGCGGGGTATAAACAAAGCTATTATTATTATTTGAAACACAAGATGAGTCCACAGCAGACACTCTGCTGGCTGTTGAATTGGATCACATGTCGGATACTTCCCAAGGACTGTGTGATGTATCGGCAAATAATGCGTGCAGATCCCAGTAAGGTGGCCTTCTGCAGCTGGCAGATGGTAATTTTGTCAGCGCCAATTGTGTTTAAGTGCAGGCCACGGTCTTTAGGCACTGCACCCAGTGTGCCGATCACCACTGGGACCATTATTATTATTATTATTATTATTATTATTATTATTATTATTATTATTATTATTAGAACTACAACAAAATGAATCCACAGCAGACAAGATCACTCTGCTGGCTGTTGTATTGGATTGCATGTTGGACACTTCCCAAGTGTCTAGTCTTATTATTATTATTATATATGTATATTGAGTTCTGAGAGTGAGGCAGAAGTGAAGAGAGATTTAAAGGCACCGCACACCTTATTTTTTTGCTAGCTAACTCTGCTTTGCTTTGCAATCACTCTTGATTGGCTGCCTCTCTCCCAAGGGGGAGGGTGAAGCCCCCTTCCACACTCCATTGTTGCCAGGTGGAGGGATTAGAACGCCGCTCTGGACAACAGAGGAGCTTCCATCTGAACATCAGGAAGAACTTCCTGACTGTGGGAGCCGTTCAGCAGTGGAACTCTCTGCCCTGGAGTGTGGTGGAGGCTCCTTCTTTGGAAGCTTTTAAACAGAGGCTGGGTGGCCATCTGTCAAGGGTGATTTGAATGCAATATTCCTGCTTCTTGGCAGGGGGTTGGACTGGATGGCCCATGAGGTCTCTTCCAACTCTTTGATTCTATGAACAGCAACCATCATAAACTGGGAAGCAAAAACCCGCGAAACAGCGAGTCCGCAAAAAGCGAACCGCGAAGTAGCGAGGGAACATTGTACATAGAAGGACCCATTAAAAGCTCCATCTGCCAAAATTTGTTTCTTAAAACCTTTTCATTTGGAGATATCACAGGTTGAAACAAGAACCTTTCATTTGCAAAGATTGTGTTCAAAAGTGCAAGAACTCTGATCCCAACTCTAATTAGTTCTTTAGGAGAAGTATTCAGTTCTGAGCACAACCTGAGACTTTTAGGCAACCACTGAATCCCTGTTCTTGGCACTAAAGAAAGCTCCAATATGGAAAGAACATGATAATTGGAGTCCTCTCCCAACTTCTTGAGACCATACCCTGCATTTGACCCTGTTTTGCTCTCTCCCCATCCCTTTGTTGCTGTTTCGCTTACATAAACAGAGGTTTTTATGTTTCCTTTGAAAGCTAGACTTTTCCTAGTTAGTAAAAAAAATGCACACAATCTTTCAATATGTTATGGTAAGAAAGTCAAAACATGTCCTCAACAGATGGAATGCAAGCACTGTTTTTGCTATGTGTAAGGGAGACAAAACTCATAGGCAAGGAACCAAGAGCTTAAACAATCTCTTTCTGCTACAGAATAGCCTTGCCTATTCCCCTGATCGTGGCTCAACTAACACCCATCATCCCCAAACCGAGCCCCCGGTGGCGCAGTGGGTTAAACCCCTGTGCCGACAGGACTGAAGACCAACAGGTTGCAGGTTCGAATCTGGGTAGAGGCGGATGAGCTCCCTATATCAGCTCCAGCTCCTCATGCGGGGACATGAGAGAAGCCTCCCACAAGGATAATAAAAACATCAAATCATCCGGGCATCCCCTGGGCAACGTCCTTGTAGACGGCCAATTCTCTCACACCAGAAGCGACTTGCAGTTTTTCAAGTCGCTCCTGACACAACAAAAAATATATATTCCCAAACCAGTATGTGCGGGTTAGAATTGTTTGTAGTTGGGAAGGCAACAGACTAAGGGAAGACTGCTATAAATTCACGACGTTGGAAGAGATCTCAAAAATCATTTAATCCAATTCTGTATTTCTATAAAATACTGACCCAAAGGTTCTGCTTCAATAATGATGTGGGCTTTATGATGCATGTGTGGAGTGCTGAAATTGACTGGTTGCTGAGGAAGGGTCTTTTAATATGGGGTTGCCACATTCACACTCTTCTGATTTTTTTAAATGGTGATGATAAGGGGGCCACACACATGTATACATATACATATGCAGTTTTAAGGTGCCCCCGGTGGTGTAGTGGATTAAACTGCTGAGCTGCTGAACTTGCTGACAGAAAAGTCGCTGGTTCGAATACGGGGAGCAGCATGAGCCTCTGCTGTTACCCCCTGCTTCTGCCAACCTAGCAGTTTGAAAACATGCGGATGTGAGTAGATCAATAGGTACCGCTTCAGCGGGAAGGTGCTCCATACAGTCATGCTGGCCACATGACCTTGGAGGTGTCTATGGACAACGCCAGCTCTTCGGCTTAGAAATGGAGATGAGCACCAACCCCAGGAGTTGGACATGACTGGATTTAATGTCAGGGGGAAAACCTTTACCTTATGCAGTTTTAAATAATGTTTTGACAGACAAGCTTGTATTTACCTTGTAAATTATATCTTTATTCAGCATTACCTTAAGCCACTCTGAGGAGAGACATAAAGTCAATAATGAAGCCAGCCAGCCAGTTAGCCGGGATTTCATGCTTCCCTCTGAATAACCAGTGTTATCCTGTTTGATATCTGTATCATTGAAATCAGTGTAAAAATGATAAACAGCATTGGAATCCTATCTATGTCTCTCTCTCTCTCTCTCTCTCTCTCTCTCTCTCTCTCTCTCTCTCTATATATATATATATATATATATATATATATATCTAAGCGTGGATGTTTGTAAGCTATTTCCAGGTGATCCTCTGTGATGTCACCGGGAAAGAAAAGTGCCATGTTTATGAGGATAAGGGAGGGAGGGAGGAAAGAGTCCCAAGGAGAGCCTGCCCACCGTAGCCAGAGCATTGCCATGGAGACATTGTGAAGTAGGCCTTCTCAGAGCTGAAGAAGTGAGAAAGCAGGTGGGCAGCAGCCTCTCCGACATCCAGGAAACACTAAGTATATATGTTAGCAACCACATGAAGCTGAATTGCAACACTAAACAATGTTCATCCTTTCAGAAGAGGAACGGAGACATAGCTACATCCCTGGAGCCACTGCACAAATAGTACCAGCAGTGTGGCTGTTGAGATGTAAGTCTCATAGCACCATGGGCATTGGAGTAATATGGACTCCTTGTACAACGGACACCAGAATGCTCTGGGAGTTGTTACACAACTTGAAAACTCCTATTGCACAAAAGGACATCACAGAGGAGTCCCCAATGTGTATTATCATAATTCACTAGAATTTCAGGAACCCCCAGTGTATGATTTTCTTCTTGGCTTTGGAACTCATTACCTGGGGAGATTAGGCAAACTCCCACCTTATCAATGTATTGTCGAAGGCTTTCATGGCTGGAATCACTGGGTTGTTGTAGGTTTTTTCAGGCTATATGGCCATGGTCTAGAGGCATTCTCTCCTGACGTTTTGCCTGCACCTATGGCAAGCATCCTCAGAGGTAGTGAGGTCTGTTGGAACTAGGAAAAAGATTTTATATCTGTGGAATGACCAGGGTGAGACAAAGGACTCTTGTCTGCTGGAGCTAGGTGTGAATGTTTCAACTGACCACCTTGATTAGCATATAATGGCCTGACAGTGCCTAGAGCAAACTTTTGTTGAGAGGTGATTAATGTCCTTGTTTGTTTCCTCTCTGTTGCTTTGCTAGTGTGATTTTAGAGTTTTTTAATACTGGTAGCCAGATTTTGTTCATTTTCATTTTCATGGTTTCCTCCTTTCTTTTGAAATTGTCCACATGCTTGTGTATTTGTATGCTTTGTGTATCTGACATGGTGGTTGTGAGAGTGGTCCAGCATTTCTGTGTTCTCAAATAAAATGCTGTGTCCAGGTTGGTTCATCAGGTGCTCTGCTATGGCTGATGAGGATGCTTGCCATAGATGCAGGCGAAACTTCAGGAGAGAATGCCTCTAGACCATGGCCATATAGCCCGAAAAACCTACATTTTTCTGTATGTATTTCATTTGTTCTGGACTGACCTTGAAGGAGCTGGGGGTAGTGACGGCCGACAGGGAGCTCTGGCGTGGGCTGGTCCATGAGGTCACGAAGAGTCGGAGACGACTGAACGAATGAACAACAACATTTCATTTGTTTATTGTATTTGTTGGGCTTGGCCTCATGTTAGCCGCCCCAAGTCCCTGAAGGGAGATGGTGGCGGGGTATAAATAAAGTTTAATAATAATAATAATAATAATAATAATAATAATAATTCAAGGGGCATATTTTGCCATTCTGATGTGCCCCAACAAGTTTCTCCTAGAGATCATCTTTCCAACTCTTGGCCACTGATGTAGCACATCAGGTAACAAAATGAGGGAGACTAAAACATGACTGGGAAAGGAAGACAAATTGTCCAACTGCCTCGAGGAAGGTTCACAACTGCACAAAAAAAATGAGATAAGGATTGAGAATTACCTGGGCAGACCATATTCTGGTGGAGGTTGATAGCGGACAATAGTGGCGTCACTCCTGGTAGTTTGTGGAGCTGCGTAGGAGGGATTCATGCTTTCTTGGATTATTCCAGAGTGCTGGTCATTAAAAAACAACCCAAGCTCCTGAGTTTTGCCAAAGGGAGAGACCGACTGCTTGCTTTTGAAAGGATAGTCCGGTGGCGGTCCCCTTTGGTCCAAGCCTTTAGAGGCAGCCTGAGAGGACGACGGCCCACCCGTCTTGAACCCCTTGCCTCTCCCCAAGACAGGGGGCTGCTGTTTGGCACCATTTCTCTCCAAGGACAGCTGCATTATCCTTTCGCTTAAAGAGCGGACATGGCCTTGCTTCAACTCTTTGAGTACTTCATCTTTATGGGCCTGCCCGCTGTTGGCACGGGCCAACGTTGGCCTCCCTTCTGTTCTAGACTTTGGACAGGAGTTCCCAGCTGTATAAAAATTGGGTCCAACAGTGTTGGATGATGGCTGCTGCTGTTGTTGTTGCTGCTGCTGCTGCTGCTGACCCCTGAAAAACTGAGACTGGGCTTTGGCCTCCTCGTAAGTGGGCAGCTCCTCATTGTTCTGCTGAGGTTGGGAACCCCTGGACTGCTTCTCCATCACAGAATTATCCCCTTGGTGCTCCTGGCCCTGTGGTTCCTGGCGCGCCGAGTGCTGGACCATTTGTGGGTCTTCCAGTACCAGGTTCTCTGTGGAAGAAGAGAGCGTGCCGGCAGTGGAGTTGGAGGGTCCCGCGCTCCCGGTGGCCTGCTGCTGGATGGCCAGCAGGTTCATGTTCTCATTTGGGTTGCCATAACGCAGCTCCTGGATCAGCCGTTGTAACACAGTGCCAGGGACAACATCCTCTGAACCTCTCATTTCCACCTCTGAGACCTGGATGAAGTCGGGAAGGTCGAAGGAGCACAGAGAGTCTTCCGCTGAGGCAAAGGAGGAGAGAAAGGACAGGTCATTGCACACACCTGCCACACTCTGGCCATTCCTGGTTCAGTCAATACAAAGACTGCAAGCCTTACTGCCGCCAGAGAACTAAATTCTTCAGATTGGCATCACGAGAACTCACCTTCAATATCATCGATCACTTGAAGCATTAATGGGGAACCATCTTTCCTGTTGCCAAATAGCTGTGGATCTGTGTTAAGGCAGCCACTTTCTTCCAGTATTTGGGCAGGAGTACTGGAAGTATAGCAAATTGAGGTGGGCCCTAGAAGGAACAAAAGAAAAAAGGCTTGTTTAGGAAGAAAGCAACAACAAAAATGTGTCTCCTTAAAAGAATAAAATTGCATATTCCTGTATTTAGCCCCTGTCATGTGGATAACTGCAGTTCAAAAGCAGACAAATATGGATAAACATTGTTTATACATAAACTACACATACATCATTGTTTACCAATAAACTTCTCATACAATGGAGCAGTGGGTTAAGCTACTGAGCTGTTGAACTTGCTGACCGAAAGGTCAGTGGCATGAGCTCCCACTGTCAGCCCAAGCTTCTGCCAACTTAGTAGTTCGAAAACATGCAAATGTGAGTAAATCAATAGGTACCGCTCCAGCAAGAAGGTAACGACATTCCATGAAGTCATGCTGGCCACATGACCTTGGAGGTGTCTATGGACAACGCCAGCTCTTCAGCTTAGAAATGGAGATGAACGCCAACCCCCAGAGTCGGACACGACTGGATTTAATGTTAGGGGGAAACCTTTACTTTTATCTATAGTATTAGTTAAGTCTATTTTCAATAATACCTCTCAAACAAATAGAAACTACATTCACCTGGCATCTACCAATTCCCATGGGTGCTGGTTGACTGAGAATCTACTATAATCACAGTGCGGTAGCTGTATAGTGTGAAAAGGGTAATGGGAGTTTGTAGAGGGGCGGGGGACATACTGCTGCAAGTACATAATTTACAGCATCCCCAAATACGTCTTCTGCGGAAGACATCCCTCGGTCCATTTCACTCTTCATTACATCCACCTGGTATGGTTTAGTGCCGGAAATTTCAATGAAATCATACAGGCAACCTTCCCTGGTTTGTGTGTCAGAGATAACAAAGGCTTTGAAAGGCCATTACATGGCCCAAGCGATGCAGGGGGGAAATGCAAACAGGGGAGTTATTTTTAAGCTCAATACAATAAATAGTGTAAAGGGATAGGGAACGCGCCTATGTTTGTTTGCTCTGGGATTGTCCACAACTTTCCCCTCCTCTGCCAGATGCTTAATCCATTATGTTCCCTGTTGCCAAGTTAGCACAATCCACACTAGTTAACAGAGAGGAGTTTTCCACCTGATGCAAAGAACAGCAGTTGGTGGGAGGAATTCAGATTGGGACAATAGGTTAAAGCCCCCATTCACTGTCCGGTCCTATTCTCTCATTTTCCTCTCTCTCTCTCTCTCTCTCTCTCTCTCTCTCTCTCTCTCTCTCGCCTTTTCTCTCCCTCCCTTCCTCTCTCACAGTCACTTTCTAATTCTCAACTTTCCTAATGATGCGACCCCTTAATACAGATCCTCATGTTGTGGTGACCCCAACCATATTTTTTTCCATTGCTACTTCGTAACTGTAGTTTTGCTACTGTTATGAATTGCAATGTAAATATTTGATAGGCAGAATGTATTTTCATTCACTGGCACAAATACCTGATACGCCCAAATCTGAATAGTGGTGAGGTTGGGGGCAAGATTGATTTTGTCATTTGGGAATTGTAGTTGCTGGGATTTTTAGTCTCCTTACAATCAGCGAGCCCCTTGAACCCCACCAATGATAGAATTGGGCCATAATTCCAACACAGAACCTCCATGAAAAAAGGGATTTGGGAGAAATTGACAGTGATTGAGGGGAGATGTAGTTCGCCTACATCCAGAGAGCACTGTGAACCCAAACAATGATGGATGCTGCTGGGCCACTCTCAGCCCCACATTGCGCGGGCGCTTTTCTCCCTGTCTTGAAGGGACTCACTGATGCGAGCCTCCCTCCAGCCTCACATGCTCCCTCCCTCCTGCATGTGCACCACGCTGTCATGTACCGAGCACGCCTGCTCTCCCCTCCTTGCTTGGAGTCTCAGAAACAGCCTTCCTCTTGGCTGAGGGGCCAGCTGAAAGGCCAGCCAATCACAGCAGGAGGAGGGCTTTGGGTGGGGAAGTGTTCTGTCTTCCAGGAGAATAGTTTGCATTACCTTTTAGTGGCATGGGATAGTGTTCCTTTGCATTTCCCCAGGATTGCTACAATCTCAGCTGCACTCTGAAAGTTAACAGCATTAGAGGCTAGAAAGCCAGCCTGCAGGCCCCTTTTGCAGCTAGCTATTGGTTTAGAAAGTATCTCTTTGTGTTTAGAGACCGCCCTTTTTCCAGGGGTTGAGATCTCCATTTTGGAATTTTCCCCTGCCTCCTTCAGTAGAGAAAGAAAGCTTCAGATGTGCTGATGGTCAGGCAGGTAACTCTGAAAAAACCACTATAAGAACTATTGAGAACTAGGTAGGAAGATTGAGATACTATAGATTGAGTTATTTAGATAATGAAGCTATTGAGTACTATAGAGATAGATAGATAGATGATAGATAGATAGATGATAGATAGATAGATAGATAGATAGATATTGAGTTATTGAGAAATAGTTATTGAACACTATTTGCTTCATCTCCAAAGCTAGCCTTGAGCTATAGATAGGGGGAAAACCTGCTTTTTTCTAACCATAGCAGCTCAGGGTTAGGGTGAAAAGATCCCAGGATTCTCTTCTGCCTTTTGGAGAAAAGTTATCTCAGTAACTAAAGGAAAGGAAAGTTCATCTCTATTGTTTCACCAATTGATTTTTTTGTTTGTAACTTTAACAAGCTGTGCCAAGTCTGCAAGGACTTTAAGAAATAAATATTCTGTTTTTGATGTTCAAAGCGTATAGTAGCCTCAGTTGTTGGGAATCTCAAGCTTCTAAAGAAAGACCCCTGCGGTTCGTCCAGACAAAGAGAGAAGCACATCTTAGTTCTATCTTTATAGGGTCTGGGTGTGACTGCACAGGAGGATACATTGTGTGTTTCCAAAAAGAGGACAGGTGGAGAGAGATTTTCAGCCTTCTCCACAAAGACCATCAGAAATATGTGTTTTCTGATGGTCTTTGGTAACCCCTCTGAAACCCCCTCGCAACACCCCCCCCCAGGAGTCCCAACCCCCAGGTTGATAAATGCTGGTCTAATTGGAAATGGAAATGCAACATTTTGCATGATCCTAAAGCAGGGTCAGTGACCAGAGGATTCAACCCATTTAAAAGAAAGTAAGTATACAAAGTACATATTTTTCCTATCTTTTCTCAACTCGGAGAATTCAGAATATTCATGGACATTCCATAACAGCACAGAACCTCGGTTTAGGGCTCAAAAGAGCTTTGAGAGAGGCATCCGTCTCTTGCATCAGACACTATATTTGTTTTATGATATATACACTGTCTTTCCTAGTTATGAAAGGGGATCAGAAGGTCATTGGTTTGAAGTACCCGAGGATGCGAAGACAGGATCTTTCATTCATCAATATGATGCACAGTGATATATTTTTTAAAGGAAACACATATTTCACAGACTTCTCCCTTTATTATTTCCTACCACAACAAAGTCAACTGAATGAAAACTGGGATGATATACAGGCATCCCATTCACACATCCTGCCTTAGAAAGTTTAAATAAACAAAAGAGTTGACATGTTTAGTCTAGACTCAAGACAGGATAAATATTTATCAGGTGGTCAGAACAAGCTCCGTCTTACCCTTCAGACGAAAACCAGGATACATTTGGCTAAAGAACACAGAAGTGTGGTCAAGATGGCAAAAAGCAGTAATGAGGAAGAATACACAAGCTAAGAAGTGTACAGCAGTTTGCTTTTGCCTGAGGCTACCGGGAAGGGTGAGTTTCTACCCTTTCCCACTGGAGCATTGCAGCACATCAAAATACCTGGGAGATACTCTGGACAGTGCTTTGACTTACAAGAAGCACTGCTTGACTATCAAGCAAAAAGTGGGTACTATAAATACTATCATACGAAAGCTGACTGGCACAACCTGGGGATCACAACCAGAGACAGTGAAGACATCTCCCCTTGTGCTTTGTTACTCTGCTGCTGAATATGCATGCCCAGTGTGGAACACATCTCACCACGTAAAACAGTGGATGTGGCTCTTAATGAAACATCCCAGATTATCACAGGATGTCTACGCCCTACTCCACTGGAGAAATTACATTGTCGAGCTGGTATTGCACCACCTGACATCTGCCGGGAGGTAGCAGCCAATAATCAAAGGATCAAGGTAGTGACATCTCTGGCCTATCCCCTGCTCAAATATCAGCCAGCACGCCAATGCCTTAAATCAAGAAATAGTTTTCTAAGATTTACAGAGACACTCACTGGAACACCTCAGCAAGTGAGAGTCCAAAAGTAGCATGCTAAAACTCAGAACCTCAATCAATGGCTGATACCAAATGAGAGACTCCCTCCTGGGACCCACAAAACATACATCTCAGGTATTTCTATAATTTCATCATTATAAATCATAAACTATGCCATATTCAAAAACTATAATTTAAAATTAGGTTTGCTTCCACCAATCATATTTAAGGCTCTATAACATGCCGCTAGATTATCACAAAAGCTGCCTTGGAGTCCTGTGCTGGGCAAAAGCTTCAAAATTCAGAGGAACTACATAACTGCATAGAAGCAGACTAGGTCTTGTACTCCAGAGCAGGAACACTTCTAACCTTAAACACCACACCAGCTTGGTAAAATCAGCAAGCAGTTTATTGAAGAATATATGAAGGCAAAGCACTAAAATTGTTAAAACTTTATAGTCCCAAGAAAAAGGACTGATACCAAATGGCTTCAAGGCACAAGGTAAAACACAAGAATCAAAGGTACAAAATCCATAGAACAAGGCAGCATGAAAATCCAATACAGGAGCCTGGGAAAACTTGATACATGAAACTAGGAACACTTGGAAACAAGACCGTCATGAAATTGCAATGTTGACGAGACTGAGGCAACTCTTTCCCTTTTATCAATATAAAGCTTTTCCTGACCCCAGAATCGAAAGGAAAGCATTTCTCTTGTCCTTACAATCAGATAAGGGTTTCTCATCTCTCTTTTCCTGTAAACACATTGACCTTTGTTGAGACTGAGAACTTTGTCTCTGTTTACAAAGGTCTTGCTTTCTATCTTCATGCTCATTAAATTC